ATAGGCTTAAGCATTTGTTGACAACTGCGCCAGTATTGGGATATGCAGACTTCTCGCAACCATTCATACTCGAGACTGATGCTAACCACCAAGGACTTGGTGCGGTTCTTTCCCAAGAACTTCAAGGAAAGAGACGTGTTATTGCGTACGCAAGTAGACGACTAAGACCAACTGAACGCAATATGGACAATTATAGCTCCATGAAGTTAGAAATGTTGGCTTTGAAATGGGCCGTAACCGACAAGTTCCGCAGTTATCTGTTAGGAAGCAACTTCACCGTTTATACTGACAATAATCCCCTGAAATATCTTCAAACGGCAAAACTTGGAGCAGTAGAACAACGATGGGCTTCGCAGTTGGCATCTTTCAAGTTTGACATTGTTTATCGCTCGGGAAAATCAAATGCTAATGCAGACGCATTGCCGCGCCTCCCTCACCATGATTGCCCAGACAAACTTTCGTCGGTGGTGGAAGTAACGAATACCTTGGCTCATTCCTCCAATACAACAGCCTTTCCACCCCACCTAGCTACTGCCACTTTGGAAAAAAGTGCAAACATAACCCTTGAAGGTCCTCAACAAACGTATATAGCAAACAACGCTATCAACACAGAACATAACGTACCTAAGTCAGGAACGAAGTCATTTCCAAGTTACTCCAAGTCCGAGTTAATGCAGATGCAACAAAGTGATCCAACGATAAGCTCATTCCTGAAATTTTGGACAGTTGGCAGGAAACCCGATGCAAAGGAGAAGAAAGATCTCACTATTGGTACCCGTGTCTTGTTACAGCAATGGAAACGGTTAGAACTGAAGGACGGAGTATTGTACCGAACGATTATTGATCCACAACAGCAGGAGGTACAACAGTTGGTGCTACCTGAGATTCTAAAGGAGAGAATAATTCGCAGTCTTCACAACGACATGGGACATCAGGGCTTAGAGAGAACTATTCTTCTAGCTAGATCTCGATGCTACTGGCCAGGTATGTACACAGATGTCGAGAAATGGATCAAGTCATGTGAACGATGTGTTTTGTCCAAGATGCCACAACCGCGTATTCGAACACCAATGGGGCACCTTATTACCGAACAACCCCTGTCAGTTCTTGCCATTGACTTTACGTTGTTGGAACGTTCGAGTGATGGAAAAGAAAATGTACTGGTAATGACTGACGTTTTTCATTAGCACATTTTTAACATTAGACACTAAGTTTTCGTTAGCAGTACCCACGAAAGATCAAAAAGCATCCACAGTTGCCAAAGTGCTGGTCAGTATAACTGGCGATTTTAATCGTCTTAACGTTACCCGGTTGCTAAATCACTTTCGTCTCAAGCAAATTGTAAAGATACCTACTCGAAACGATGCTACGCTAGATCTCATTTTAACTAATATGCACAAGTTTTATAACCCACCTCAAGGTTATCCAGGTTTTGGGCTGTCCGATCATAATACAATAGTAGCTACAGGGAAAATTGCAGTGCAGAAGAATAATACTAAAAAATCGATAACAATACGTGACCAGCGGAAAAGTCGTAAATTAGAAATGGGAAGATACTTAAGTTCAATTGATTGGACCTTAATGCTCAGTCCTTTGGATACTTGCGAAAATATGTGGACAGTCTTCCAAGAAGTAGTTCATTCTGGACTAGACACCATAATGCCAGAAAAACAAATTCGTATTCACCCAGCTGACTCTCCATGGATGAACCAGAAGCTTAAATCCCTAATTTTTAAGAGGCAAAAAGCTTTCAATGCGCACGGTGTGCATTCCCCCCAATTTAAATATTACCGAAACTGTGTCAACAGAGAAAGAAAAGTCTGCAGGGCAAAATACTACGAATCCAACATTGAACAACTTAAAGGAGAAGTCCCAAGGAAGTGGTGGGATGAGGTTAAGCGGTTAAGTGGAATAAAGTCGGCAGGCACAAATTTATCCCATCAAATTAATGTCGAAGGATTTACGAACCTCCCTCCACATGAACAAGCTAATACCATTAATACTGCCTTTCTTGCACCCTTGGCCGAATACAGAATATCAGAACCCCTCGAACATCTTCCGTTAGAAGACCCACCAAAATTTTTGGAAGTTACTGAAGAACGTGTTCAAAAAGTTCTAGAGAAATTAAATCCTCACAAGGCGCCTGGACCAGACAATCTACCAAACTGGATTTTTAAAGAATATTCTTATCTTTTGGCCCTTCCTGTCATGAAAATTATCAATGCTTCCTATTACGAACAGCAGCTGCCTACCATCTGGACGAAAGCTAATGTTTCGCCGTTACCAAAAAAAAAACCAGTGACTATATTGGAAAAAGATCTCAGGCCTATTTCCCTGACCCCCTGCATCTCTAAGGTGGCAGAGGAATTCATTGTTGAGGATTATGTTAAACCGGCAATTCTAGACATAATCGATGCTAGTCAATATGGAGTGATTCCAAACTCGTCAACCACTATGGCGTTAATTAGTATGCTGCATCACTGGTTTATAAACACTGACGGGAATGGGGCAACAATAAGGACAATATTGTTTGATTATCGCAAGGCATTCGATTTTATCGACCATACAATTCTTGTAAAGAAACTGGGTAATTTGAACATACCTAGAAGTATAATTAACTGGATAATAGATTTTCTTTCTCATAGAACGAAGAGAGTAAAATTGGCCGATAGCTGTTTTTCTGAGTGGGGCCTTGTTCCGTCTGGTGTACCGCAAGGTACAAAGCTAGGTCCATGGTTATTTATTTTAATGATCCAAGACCTGAATATTAATTCCCCATACATGTGGAAGTTCGTGGATGATACCACAGCATCGGAAATTCTTCCCAAAGGCAATGTTAGTACAGCCCAAAACATAGCAGATTATATTAAGCAATGGTCAGAAGAAAATAGATTAAAGCTACATCCAGACAAATGTAAAGAATTGAGAATTTCTTTTAGTAAGGACCCAGTTGTTCTAGATCAAGTCATACTCAATGGTAAAGAAGTCGAAATAGTCGAAAGTGCTAAATTATTGGGAGTAACAATAAGTAACAATCTAACTTGGCATGCCCATATAAAAGAGGTCGTCAAAAAAGCCAGTAAAAGACTATATTACCTGGTTCAATTAAAAAGAGCTAGGTTACCAGTTAAAGATCTTGTGTTATTCTATACGTCTTGCGTTAGATCTGTCATGGATTACGCAGTACCAGCTTTTTATCACTCCCTTCCACAATACTTAAAGAACGAATTTATTCGACTGGAAAAAAGGGCTATTTCAACAATAAATCCAGGAATGGACTACTCTGCAACAGGAGAAATTTTGAACATCAAACCAATAGAAGAACACCATAATTTCTTATGCAGTAATTTGTTTGATAATGTTACAAAGGATTCAAACCACAAACTTTATGACCTCCTCCCACAGAAACATAACTGGCACCACGATCTCAGAAATGGTCATCAATTTGACATTCCTCATTTTAATACTAATCGTACTAAAAACTCTTTTATATTTGCGATGGCATCGAAGATGTCTTCATAACGTTAGTGGTATCTTTTTTATTATCATCCTAGTAAAATTTTAAATATTTGCATAATTTTAACTTAATAATTATAATAGTAATTAAATAATAATTCGTATTTTGTAAACTTTACGTAATTCAGCCTTTGGCTGCAATGTAAATGTTTTATTAAACTATCTATCAAGGAATGGTTTCAAAAGTACGGCACACCTGAACGGATCCATTCGGACCAAGGCAGGAATTTCGAGAGTGCAATCATTCAGGAACTGTGTCGAATTTATGGTGTAAAGAAGAGCCGCACAACACCTTACCACCCACAAGGCAACGCACAATGTGAAAGGTTTAACCGCACACTTCATGATTTGCTTAAGAGCTTGCCTCCTCAAAAGAAACGTCGATGGACCGAGTACCTTCCTGAGTTACTGTATGCCTACAACTGTACCCCGCATGGTACAACCGGTTACAGCCCATATCATCTTCTTTTCGGGAGATCACCAAGGTTACCAGTTGACATACTCCTCGGACAAGAAGAAGATGAACCTCAGAAACAGTCTGCGAATGAGTGGCTTACTAAACATCAAATCCGCCTACGGTACGCTTGGGAAAAAGCAGGGGAGCATATACGCGAGTCAGCAGAGAAGAGAAAGCAAAGAAACGATTCAAAGGTGTATGCGTCAGATATCAAAGTTGGGGAGTTAGTGTACCTACGAAAAAGAGTTTTGGGGCGAAACAAGATCCAAGATGCATGGGAACCTACCATGTTTACCGTGACTGAAGTACCGACCAAAGACGGTGGACCATATACTGTCGTACCCTATAGTGGTCGAGGTGCCCCAAAGAAGGTCAGTCGTGTTGAACTACAACCATGCCCCATGAAGAGTGACCCTCCTCAACCGATACAACCAATGACGATTAAATGCGTTCCCAACCGAGCCATTCATGAAGATACGTCCTCAACTGACACCGAATCGGAGTTTATGTTGCTCGTTAATACCCCTTCGTCACCCAGAAAGCATCACATATCCACTTCCAAAGGCGAACAAATTCAAGCAACTCCAGACAATGATCCAGCAACAACACTCCGAAGATCGAAACGGATAGCGGCGAAAAGACAGAACACTCATCAAAGCAAATCAAATCCAACATGCAATCAACTGATGGTATCGTATCGAGACTTTAATGTTTATGTCCTAGTTATATGTGTGCTTATAACTGGCATTTCCGTGATCTCTGCAGTTATATAGTTAGGTCGAGGACGACACCTTGTTAGCAGGGGAGAGTGTGGCCAGGTTGAATAAACTGTAGAGAGACTCAGAGACACCTTAATAGTTGTTGTTAGTTAACTTCCTGTTATGATCACTTCCTGTGACGTCATGAACACGCCATGCTGCAAAATGCAGTTGAACAAATATAAAAGCTATTTCAATTTTCAAAAGATATTATTCAGTATTTTATCGTCAAAGAAACATTTATATCGAAGAAAAGAACAACAGTAAAAGGGAATTAACATTCTCGGGCAGTTGCCCGGTAAGTTAACGTTATTATCCAGTAATTATAGAAGTATTGCTGTCTTATAATCATGTTAAAGGTATAAAAATATACGCATGAATATATTAATCGTAATAGCTGTTGAAGTATGGTCATTTTGAGTAATTTATGTAAATAGTTCTTTAGAACGGTGCATGATTTGTCTTAAGTTTGACATTATAGACGGATATATTTATGGTTTCATCAACTTTTGGGAGATATATTACTTTGTATTTGATAAATCGGAATGTTTATTGTAGGATACAGGAAGTGTGTATTTTAATATTTTGTTTACTTAGTTATATTGCATTAACTTTTATAGCTTGTAACCGTCGCCCTCGTATTTTGGGGTACATGTTCAAAATAAGAGAAAATTATAAACAGTTTTCACGAATCTATTATGTCCCGGTCACATAATAAAAAAGGGAATAAATATTAAAGATACACTGAAATTATATGTTGTCTTGTTTAGTTGTTTCATATACGCAAAATCCGTCGGGTTTTAAAGCAATTATAAAATCAATATTTAAAACAAACTTACCTTCGTTAACGTCGGCTCCCTTCTTTTAGCCGATTCTTTCGCAGTTTCTTTCTGAGAAAGCTTTTGAAATTTACAAAATCTTGCAAAAATGCGAGCAAAAATGAAATATATTTGCAAGAAATTTATCAATCTTCAAATCAAGAAACGTTTGCTATTTCGCTGTCGTCATGCAGTCATTATAAGGCAAATTTTAAATTTGTCCCATCTGTTTTTCGCAATTCATGACAGTCCGCCATATTTTATAGATCAATGAGGATGACCACCCATCGTTGGTGAGCCACGTCCTCGATCATTGATGAACTTTAGACTTCGCTAATGCTTTCGTTTCCCTCGGTGTAAATAGCCGGGGGGATTAATACCTTCTCACGGCGCTTCGCGCCGTCGGCTTGGAGATTATATTTAAAAACAAGGCGGTTAATATAAGAATTTATAATTAAAACGGTCTCTATTTATCTTTGGTGTATAACTGGATCTATTTATTAGTTCGCATTTAGTCTTCTTAAAGGATGTTGTTCAAGTTGTGCCACCTTGCTGAATGTTTTTTCTATCTTGCTTTTCTAATAGTTCATGCACATCAATTTTCTTTGAAATATATTTGCGTTTGTGGCATCTTTCCAGGAAGCACTGAACTGTTGCAAGTTCGGGTTTGGATGCTCCATACACCGAAATAGCATATGTTATGTTTGGAAGGACTAAACTAGTGAACAGGTGATCGATCTCTGTCTGGTTATAGCCTTCTTTACGTAAGGTTCTAAGAATGAAAAGGCACTTGTTGGACTTTTTCAAATTTTTATACACATGTGTAGTAATCCCGCCATCCTCCTGAAGTGTGACTCCTAAACTCACAAGTAGCGGCTCTTGCGGAATTCCCAACACTAAGGGAAACAATTCAGTAATACCTTTTTTTGAATAACAAGTTCTTTGCATTTCTTTGGATTCCTTTGCATACAATTACGACTGGAAAAAATCAAAAACTGTTTCACCATCTCACCCGAATGATCTACTTCCTTCCAGACAGGAGAAATAATATTAACATAATCTGCATATTTAAATAAGTCACGCGTTGTTACCAATTGAATCTCAAAATCATTTAAAAAGATGTTAAATAAGTGTGGACCACTCACACTACCCAGAGTTGTTCCTTTATTAGCATGTTTCCAGTCTCTAATGAAATCATTCTTTACAACTCTCTGTTGTCTATCCTTAAGGAAGCTGATATACCAATTAAATATGTATGGATTAAGACCAACTTGTCTTAATTTGGCCGATAGCAAATCATGTTTTACGTTGTCAAACGCCTTGCTAAAATCCATTGCAAAGAGACGAACAGCCTTACATTCTGGATTATCAAGATACTGATTAGCCTTATGTTGTACAGCTAGCAAAGTATCCGTGCAGCTACCACCTTTTCTATACGCAAACTGAGAAGCATTTAAGTGTTGTTCGAAACTTTTCTTGGCATGCACACTCAGAATAGTTTTTTTCAAATGCTCTAGCTATAATAGATGTTATATTTATACCACGATAATCATTATTCTCATTTAGAACCTCGACTTTTGGTAGTGGATCAATGTTAGATCTCTTCCATGTTCTAGGCCAAGTATGAGTTTCCAGTGATAAATTCCACACATTCGTCAACACTGGTGTTAATAGTTCAGCATGATCCTTCCAAACAGTATAAGGTATTGAATCTGGTCCTAGTTTGGTCCTAATAGTTGGAATTTCTGTATAATCACCAATCTCCAAAAGCTCCGGTTCCACGTAAGTTTCATCTGTACATAGTTCTCCAAAGTAATTGTTTAATTCGCAGAGTGAATTATGGTCGAAATTAACAAGTATCCATCATCCGACGGTGGTGCGATATGCTGTCCGCTGTTCTCCACCATTCCCGTGTACCGATATTCTCCAAAGAACTCCTTCTGTTCTGGTTTATAAGTGTTGAAATCCGCTTATTTATGGCTTTAAACCTATCTTCATTACCATTTGATATCCGTGATTTCACTCTGAGCATAGACTTCACTAAAAGAGTCATCCAGACCGGGTCTCGTGAGGTTTTATGGGCATACACCTATCTAAATGCCCATGAATAATTTTCTCAACCTCAAACACAGCTTGATCTACATCACTACTACGGAAATCATTATCCCAATTTTCATCTGCAAAAGCCATGTACAAGTCTCGCTTTCTAGGTTCCCTTTGTTCTCGGATTTGAACTTTTCGTCTTATTGGGCGAAGCTTTATACCCGCGTGCAAAATAACACCTTTATGATAAGTTTTTGCCAACATGTTGATAGAATAGCATTTCACAAATAAATCATTACGGTTTACTAAGCAATTATCCAAGCAAGTGAGGGTAATATAATCCAGTTGATATTAAATATAACCTGAGATCGTGCTCTATATATTTTACAAATATATTTATTTTACAATTTTGTTATTTATAGGCCCGTGATCGCAGGTTGTATTAAATATTACTATTTTACGTAGGCTCATCAGTGATTTAACTCTCTTTCAAAATTTCAAGATGAGACCAACCTTTGAATTCACTATGTGAGTAAATTGTTAAACACGTCCGAAATTATCAGTACAATAAATTCGCAACAAGCCGAAACCACAAGTATTAGACAAGACCTTTTGTTATAAATGTAATAGCACTAAAAGGGAGGCTGGTCGTGTCGTGGCGGTGAGATCATCAAAACAAGGTCATCAAGCCTAGATTATGTATAGGACTAGAAATACACGCATGCAGCAACCGCTCGCCCACCAGCGTAATTTGTTCTGTTTTCATAATGTCTTGATAATCAATGGTTAAAGCGATGCGGCAATTCTCCGCATCCACTCTCCTTGGGTTCACACTTGGAGACTGAAATTTATCTGGATTAGCTAGTAAGAAATTTTTTCTGTACCAACAAAACGCTTGCTCTCCTATCTCTTTCAAACTGCTCTCTGCTGATTTATAATTAATTCCAATAACATACAATTGATAATCGTCGCCATAAATAGACAAGTTTGCATCTTTGACGTAATATACTTTGGATCATTTTGGAACATGTTCCACAGAAGGGCCAAGTGAAGAACCTTGAGGGCATCCCCGTACGTTCTCTTTCCAGTCACCAGTTGTGTCATTAAGCTTTACTCTGTTTTGTCTGCTGATCGTATAAGGCTAAGTGAATTTCTACCAAAACCCTAGGCCTCCAACTTCTTAATTATGAAGGAATGGCAAAGGGAATCAAATTCTTTGCTGTAGATAGGATAGATATTAGTTTCTCTTCATCAACATTAAAGTGCTTTCTACTATATTAGTATACCTATACAAGAAGACCTTTTTAAGCCGGAACTATCAAGGGTTTGAATTATCTAATCCATGTGCTGTAACTGGCCAGTGTTGGCAATAAATTATAATGTGCAGAATTTTCAAGATCCAAAAATTGGCCGTTCAATTATACCAACTTGAGGGTCAGTTAAGTTTAGTGTCCGGGTCAGGTGTAGGCAAGGTTCATGTAACCTCAGTTATTGTTAAAACAGCGAGAATGTTGTGTGTACACAATCATACATAATATTGTGTTGGACGAATAGCAGCTAAACGTTGGGATCCAGTGTCGAACAAATAACCACAACAATTATTTAATTGTTTTAGCGCAATATACAGTAATTTCTTACATTTTTACAGAAATAAACACACATAAAATACAATTTTGTTAACAGTATCTTCATTTATAGTCATAGTTATTAGATTGCATTATTTGTTTAGTAAAAATGAAATTAACAAATTACAAAGTCAGTATGAAAAATTGCAATGATCAATTAAAATGTCAAACAAGCCAATTGTTTCAATTATGCATTTGAGTGTAACCTAAGTCGCCACTGTGGGCCCCATAATCCAATTTGATAAGTGAGAATACACCTCTTTCTCAATGCAAGGGAAGAGCTCTGGCACTCATTGGATTGAACAGACCACAGTATATGATAAAGCATCCTAGTGTTAATTCTTTAAACGGCAATGCGCCCCAATGCACCCTACTTTATAACTATATTCTGTCTGACGGAGGGCAATTTTATTTGAGAAGGGGAGAGTGCTGGTGCTCAATGAATTAAGTGGAATTTTATACTAATTGCTTCGAACAAAGGTACAGTTTTCCTTTTGTACGCATCTTAAGATTTTTCTTGGCATCTGGAGAAAAGTGTAATAGAATACAGTACATCCAATCAGTCCTGTACTATATTATCTATATTTGGTCCATATGCAATTGAACATTATATTATTTTTTCTTTTCCTTTCAAATGTTAAAATAGGTCACACCAAACATAGAAATTAGAGTGTTGCGTAATAGGTATATCCCTTTTCACCCATTGATTTCTAGTTCTATGCACTATCCGTAAATTCATATTCATCAAGAAAAATTAATGTGCACTTGCCACAGCACATGCTGACAAGCTTATTTCTTCTTTGAACGAAAATGGGTGGCAGAGTCCATTCATTCCATTTGAACAAAGCTCAACAGATTTGCATTACAGAGACCCAAACATCTACAACGTGATGCTTACCACTATTAGGTAAGCATTACCGCCATTAAGTTTTCCACCCAAATTGATGGATCTGTAGACACCATGCAGTGTGACAATAAGTTTCTATTTCTAAAATACAACTCTACTGATGACCCATTAGAAATTAAGACAAGGTTTGTTGGTGTAACTAACTTGGATTTAGAACTAGCTGCTGGCTTAGAAAATTGTGTTCTTATAGGCATAAAAACAATTGAAGTAGACAAACTTGTAATGAACAAATATGCTGGTGTTACTACAGATGGCGAACCTGCTAGTACAGGATCTAAATCTGGCTTGTGAAAGAGGTTAGAGGATCAAGTAGAGCGAAAACTGATGAACTTTTACTGTGCTTGTCATCGTTATGACCTTGCAATGGAAGATATTGAAGAAAGTGTCCCTCAGTTAAAAGTTTGGAAATCAAATCTACTTTCCATCCCAGAATACTACCACAGGTTTGCCGTCAGGACGAGAGAAATGAACAAAGTTCTTCCTACAATGATGGCTTTCCCCACTTTCCACAATGTGCGGTTTTCCCAGCATTTAGACAATGTCTGTATTGCCGTCCTTCATAATCAAATTGGATGCCTACAACACTGGGATAATGTTTCAAAAAGGAGGAATTTCGATACAAGGGAAAGAAAACGTGCTGAAGGTTTCATGAAGCTGTAGAAAAGGATGGAATACAGTCATATATCACTTCCATTGTGTCTGATATATGCTCTGCATGTGTTATGTGATCTCGTTTACATTCCATTTAGGACTATATATATATATATATATATATATATATATATATATATATATATATATATATATATATATATATATATATATATATATATATATATGTATTTCCTTGAGCAATGCTCCAGCTATTGCTGTCTCTTCGACAGCTTTAAAAACATCTGATATACAAATACTACATTGCTGACTTTTACATATAAGGAAACCACAATAACAGAAGGTTTCCAGCTCTATTTCTTTAGGTATGTAGTGGTGTTTGTGTGTTATTTACAAAACACGGCCAGGCTCATGCATGCGGATCCACTACACATGTAGTCATGACGTAAGACCATAGACCACCTTGTTTTGTGGAGTGTTTGGCAAATTCAGAAAGTCTTACATGTTCTGCTTCTCGGCCTTACATACTATTGATACCCAACCCCATGCCGTATCTAGCAAATAATATTTCTATGTGTTTTGGTATAGCATAAACAACAGTCCACAGTGTTGGTGTGACTGATTTTAACAACAGAGCATTGGCATTAAAAAGGTATAATCAAGCCTTCTTGTACTGTTCTAACTCAGCGAGGGTAATACTGTATATACACGAGAAAAATATTATATGATATTGCGTCGCTTAACTGTAAGCAACTGAAAGCTATATGGATGCAATCTTTAACTTAGTCTTGGATGGGTCAGTTGTTTGAATCAATCCATGCATTTGTGACAAAATATTCTGGTTTCTTTTCCTGTAAAGCTATAACTAAAAGAACCCTTTCGGCCTTCACTGAACCAGGTATTTCAAAACTGTGATGTAAAGGGAAAAGGGAGTATCCGGGGATAAGTCTTCGATCTGTTTGCAGCTTCCTGTAATACCAGATTTAGCCAAACCTGTTTAAAGCATTATTTGATGAAAATAGGCCCAAACATCGTTACTATTGGGCGATGGCTCTGCAAACCCACAATTTACTAAATTGCCCAGAAGTGGTTCATATTCCTATCTAGACCCCTGCTCCCTAATACAATTAGGACATTTATTTCTCTTAGTAGCATTGGAATTCTTGGACCTGCATAGTACGTTCCTCCCTCTTATTTGCAACTTCCCTAGCAACCTTAGTCCTTTGGTTATAGTTCCAGGGATGCCATGTACATGACGGATCGTCCCCTAGGGATCCATTTCTGACCCGTTTGTTGTCATCATTAACATTTCCAAAAGGGGAAAAATAGTAAGCTGCGTTGTTGAGCTCTCCGCTCATTGTGGATAGCCATTTCATATCTGAGGGAACAAGTTCAACTGTAAATTGACAATTAAAACCGCTGATAATGTATGACTGTGTCTCAATGTGTGCGATATCTTGCATCAATTTCTTTGCGTACTGTTTCATGCTTGGGTGATTGTCTGAGCAGTTTACCCCATCTACGAAGAAATTGTCCCTTTCACTTTGAATATGGTTACACACATTTAAGAACGAAACAAGCCATGCAGTGGCTTCATCATCTTTGCCGAAAGGAGCGCCATCCGCTCCAATAGCAATTCTAAAGTGATAGGGCAATGCTCCAAAATGTAGGAAAAACGACTCAGACCTCACTGCTTGGTCTACTTGTATATATAGTTCGGCTAACACTTTTATGTAACTGCAGAAATCCCTATAGGACCCTTTTAATTGGTTCCTCAAATTTACTTGTATTCTTGTTAAACTCAGATCAAAATCATAAACATCTACTGATTTTATAAAGGCCATCAACTTGTCATAATAAACAAGTTTTGGGTTGGTTATTGATTGACCCACTGTTGCTTTAACATTTCTACAAATAGACTTATATTTCTTTTTAGCAAGAAGACAATCCTCATTTCAAACTGCGACACATGTTGTCATTGCTGTCTTGATACCCTTTAACTTGTTTGCTCATTAAGGATGGGTTAACTTTACTACGTATCTTTGGTGATTTGTCCAGATATGCTTTTAGTCGGCCAGATGTACTTTCATTAACCATAGTTGGCCACATACCATCAAGGGCTGCAGAGGTTTCTCCTGAAAATAGAATGTCACAGCTGCAAGTTTTTCAAAACAAAACTATCACTAGCTTCTCCTCCTGGGTCTTAGCTAGTAAACCGCACGCCAAGGATGTGAGGTCAATTAACCTGTTAGCTGGCAGTGCGCCCTACTTTAGTATTTACTCTGTCTAACGCTAGACGATTTTACTCGTCAGTGGTAGAGTACGTACTGCCGGTAAATGGGTTAAGAAAACCAAAAGCCACATTATACAGATACAGTACACATCTTAGTATCCTTTCATAAAGCCGTAATTTCAAATAGACATCAGTCTTAATCTAGCTACAATGTTTTAGATCACTGGTTTCAAATGTTTTGAAAATGTCTGGCCTTGGGCAGTTTCATTTACAAAATACTATCAAGGTACTGGACTCTGAACTAGCAAAGCTTACATTTGCCAGACACTTCCATAGTTACCTTCGGCATCCCCATGTAGACTCTGACAGACATCTAAGGTTTCTTTTCGTCTTCTTCTGTTTGACAGAACTGAGAGAGAACATTGAAGTTTCTCTGAGTTATGTGGATCTAACTTTGAGGGTGCTTTTCGTCTTACGGTCAAATTCATTTTCAGACTTGCTCGTAGTTTATTGATCTTTTTGTCTTCAAGTTTCCTCCTTTTCCCTTGCAAGGACTGTTCTTCTACACTGAGCAACCCAATTTTTTCTTTATGGCTTTTAATCTGCAGAAGAACATTTTTTGCTAATTACTATACAGTTTATGATATTTTTATAGTATATGCTGAACCAATGCTGCTGAACCAATGCATTTAATATATATTTTAATTATTTCTTATATCTATCATACCTTAATGCACCAAGAAATCCACTGCAGTCTTAAATTAACTGAAAGATTAGTGTAGATGTAGAGTTTGATGAACACTTAGTACTTACCCTCTTTGAAAGCTTATCAATATCTTTTTTTGCAACTTTCAGGCTTGCATTTTTAGCCAAGAAAATTTCCTTTAATTCTTGCCTTTTGCTAGAATGTTCGCCAACAGGGAAGCGCTTCCTCGCGGCTTCTTTGTTACTTGACTTCTTCTTGCCCATATAAAATTGTCGCTACACAGACGTATTTGTATTAACCATACGGCAAAAGTTGTGAAAAGCACATGGATCGAAAACCCAAAAAGCTACAAATTAGATAACTTCAGACAATTAGCAAGAATTCTATGGTTCTAAAATTTCCAAGTGTAACGAAAATTTCACTTACCGAAAGCATTAACTTCAGGATTCTGAGTGAGACTAGACTATAACAGCATTCTGACATCGAAGATAGCAAGCTTATTTTACTTCGAATATAACACAACATGTCTTCTTGAACAACTTGACAACATTGTACTGCAAACGGGTCCTCGATTATCGGACAAGATCAACAATTATACGCCTCAATACCTTCATATTCATCAAATTTTAATTTGGAAATCCGAAATAGCCATGCATGACGGCCAAATTTTTGAATATTTCACCGCCATGATGAATATTTTTCGCAGACAAAACTCATAGCTAAGCCTTCTGTGTCGCGAAATAGCCCAGAGTGGGATGACTATAGATTACTATAGATAACGGTATACTGTATACCTGAACATAGAGAGTATAATTGTCTCCTATTTGCGTATGTATAGGACATAGAATTATTACCCAATTTCCATTCCAAGGGTGCATATTTAGAAATTGTTTGATGAATTATTATGTGTTTTTTTTTGTAAAGTAAGAAATCGATTATGCATAAAATCAATAATGCGTGTGAAAACGTGAAACGATAATATGGCAAAAACACTCAAGTTTTGGTAATTGCGCATAGGATTTTATATGCATCCAATTGTTTGGTACGTTGATAGTTCAAAAAACACCTCATGCACCCTATGAATTAAAGTGTCATTTTAAGCCGACCATATTTGTGCGAAAATTTATGTGGTTTTTTCAACAACCCTCCTGCACGCGTAAATTTGCTTTTCAAAACAATGTTAGAAGTAAAGATACTAGCAGATCCCCACCAACCAATACTTGCATAAATTTTCCATAAATTTTGCGGTATTTGCAGTTTCGTGAACATTTTCAAACTGTGCACGTTTTGGACACCCTGTATCATAGCGACCTACTGTAAAATTATAGTGGCGGTATTTGCATTGATTTTGTTACAAAATTATTTTTGTTAAGTACAGTAAAATGAAAGGGGTACTTTGAATTAAAGCATGCTCTAAATATATAATAATTCTAATTCTTTCCAATTTGCATTTTTGACAACAGGGCAACGCTAAAAAAAGACGTCCACCGATATTTCCGAAGACTCGTCGAAATCTATTGTCAGATAGTAATGGATCAGCTAATCCCGTAGATCAGGTATAAATAACAGTTTTTTTTATTTATTATTATTATATTGATTTCCCGGGGGGCGTCCATATAAAAATATTACAAAGAATATAAAAAGGAAGAAAACTAAGTATACTACTATATGTATGCCTACATTACCAAAAGCTACTGTAATTTTGGGTGGTATGCTCCAGATAATGATATGATTAAAGAATCCAAAGATTCGACCATTAAAATCGAATATCCTGTTTTTTAAGTAAGTAACTTGATTGAGCTTGGTTAGCTTCAACCAGAAGGTTATTACATCCAAAGATAAGCACCGCGATATTTAAAGTTTCTTTAATTTTGAGAAATTCTCTGTTTGGCTTTGGGAGGGCCAGTTCAGTTTGAGAATTTTCCCCGGGGAAATGAAAGCACTAGCGAAGTCTAAAGTTCATCAAGTATACCGGGCGCGTGACTATGGTTCATGGGTGGACCTCACTCATGTAAAAAATATGGCTGTTTGCCAGGAGTGGGATAGGCAAGATTTCAATTTTCAAAAGCATATATTTGGAAAATCACGTTTCAAACAATGACCTTGGAAGCAATTAATGTTTGAAGAAATAAGAAAAAATTATGGACTATGGGAAATTGAGAAAAATGGGGCAAGTTTGCTTTGAATGATTAATGTTTTATATGAATTATGTTGCTTTAACTTTTGCCTAAGTTATAAAACATGAACTATTTTCCTTTCCAACGAAGCTGTAAGTTTCCTAACTAAATTATCCTGTTTAATTTAAGAAAAAAACTTAAAATATAAAGGAGAACAAATTGATTTGAAGTCGGACCTTAAATTACCGAACAATTTGAACTTATTATTTTTACCGCAAATTTAGTTTTAACAGTTGAATGCAGAACATTTTAAACTGTTTTACGAAGCGTTTCAAGTTAAATTTTACAATTTAAATCAAATCACATAAAAAGCAGAATAACATACCTACAGTAATATTTTGGAAATTCATTGTTGTATAGCTAAAAGTCCTAATCTTTCAACTAATTTGCCGTTTTGTACAAAAAGAATATTTAAAAAAATGAAAATTTTAAAATATCGTGTTGTCATGGCAACACTTGAACGAGCCAGCGTTCAGTTTTGGCCATTTCCAAATACTTCATGTTAATTCAGTGTTCGGAAAATATAGGCGAGGGGTTGCTGCATGCATGTTTTTCTGGTAGATAGTTTATTTCGAATATGTGGTAGCCCGAGAGCTGTATTGCATATTTACGAATTTGGAAAAAATTTACAAAACTAATTTACAAATAATTTTCTTATTTATCAAATTTAAAAGACTATTATAAAAATATAGTTAAGGCTAAGTATATTTCAAACGCAATTTTAAAAGTTTGTTTTCACTATCATCAAGGTTACTCCACATGATGAAAACATTGATTTTGTCCTTTTTTATATTTTTGTCGATTGATATCGAAGGGCTAGAGATCTTTCCATTTCCGCAAATATTTTTTTTTAAATATCAAAATGCAACCGAGATATAACCGAAAATGTTATAGTCCAATTTTTTTGCCGCGAAAGTTTTGATTGTGATAGACAGTTTGTGGATAAGTGTGACCACAGGCGGTATTCAACATTGGGCGGCTTGTTTGTTTTAGATATAGTTATATCATTGTGATAAGAGGATCGTACACAACATAAATTTTGCTTTTTAAGTAAAACTTTTTAAGTAAAACTATATATAACTATAAGTGCGCTGCTTATCAACTTATCCTTGATGCCGAGTCAAAATGAAACCCAGCCAAAACACACTTTAAAAAGTCGAACCTGATTGGCTTACAGTTTGAAGTGGTGACAGGGGGCGGAGAAACATAACAGAGAACGGAATCACTTTTTGTCTTTTACAGAGATTGAAGGAATTATCAGCCCGATTGTCCTCACAAAAAGAGTTATAGAACGGACACGTTTTATTCAATTGCTACCAAACTTTGCATCAATGTAGAACAATATCAGAGGAGCAAAACAACCGTGTTCACGTTTTTCTCTTAGTGCTTTAGTTTTCAATTTATAGACTTCTGTTCTATCGTTATTGCAAATTTTTTATGAGTCACTTATCTGCTTTATGTCTCGGCAAATATAATGCCTGTCAAAAAACGCGAACACGGTTTTGTTCTTTGATCATTTGACATGGGAAATGTGATATTTCGGAAGCTTCTGAGTTTAATTGGATGGTTCTAAAGCTCGTCGCGCGAAGTGCATCATATTTTCAAAAGCAGCTCGTACAGTAGCAACAATAGTTTTTAAAAATGTATAATTTTTGTTAAAGTAGTAGCAGCAGCAATGACTTATCGTTGTGAATGCCAAATTTGAGGGAGAAATTTACAAATTTAGTGCGCGGCGAGCATTTTCCTGAAAAGGACTTTCATCATGTGGAGTAAACTTCTTAAACACCTTCTTGGAAGATGTTTAAGGACAAGGTTTGGTGAGCATCGGCGTGAAGTTATTGGGAATGATCCTAACCAACCTGTTGCCAGAAATTTTAATAATGGCAATCACAGTGTTTCAGATATGGTAATTTGAGCCCTTTGTCCCATTTCTGGAAACAACGATAGCCGCAAACGACATGAAATGCGCCTCCTATCCAAACTTGGCACGGTTCCCCCTTTTGGTATTAATGAACGCTTTTCTTATGCTTAATGCCATCATAGACAGTCCAGAAGACATGTCTTCGGGATTGTCAATGATGCCATCTGTCCTTGCCTGCAGGTGCGGATCTAGGATTTTTCAAACATAAGTCGAACGACGAAGGCGTGAGACATGCTAGGGGGTTCTGGGGGCATGCCCCCCCCCCCACGGAAAATTTTGAAATCTAGAGTCTCTGAAATGCGATTTCAAGCGTTTTGGCGGTGAGAGTTTGCAGAATTCCAAAGATTATAAAGTACATCAAGCACATGCTTTATTTTTTTTAAAGATAGGAATCGGTGCGCTATTACAAATGACTCTTGTTCCCTATCAGAAAGATATGATTCAAAGACTTGTTCCATAAATAATAATAATAATAATAATAATGGAAACTTTATTAAATGTTTATCTTTACATACATATACAATCGTAAATCTCTCTCATAAAGGTAACTTACGGTTGGCTATTTGAATCACAATTATGCTAAAATAACAGAACAAAGTGCATGCAATATATATGTATATACAATGAGATAAGTAAAATTGTTAGTAAATCCGGATTTTCCCATTCCTTATTTTGGCAGCAAAAAATGTAATATGTAGTTCTAATAGCAATAGTCGTCATTTTCCTAACGCAGTACATTTGGTGGTTTTTGTCAAGACCAATACTATCTAACATGTCTAAAAATTTATAACATTCTTCTGCAAAAATACCTAAAGAGCTGATGGAGAGATTTATAAATTTAACTTGGTTAAAATTTTTACCTAGCTGTCTCAATAATTCTCTATATTTATCCTTCTTCCGTTTTACGTTGTTTTTGAGGTTTGTCTCATAACCAGTGGTGAGTTCAACCACATATAAGGAACCATTTGAGCACGATAATAACAAATCTGGGCGATACGTATCACCAGTAAGTATTGAAGGGCTTTTGAATCCATTTAGATCAGCGTAGAGAGTAGAACCGTAAACAGTTTGTAAAGTATGAGCAAGAAAGTTCAGGACTGAATTGTGTCTCCACGTAAATCGGTCGAGATAAAACTGACATCCAGCTACTATGTTTAGTAATGTTTCAGGGCAGAGACAAAAAGAACAGTCTGAATTTGAGGATATTGCCCATCTGTTTAGGTTTTTGCGCGTCGGAAGAGAGTTGTTAATGTAACGAATGGTAAAGTTGTAAATGTTTTTCGGGAGCTTTGATTGGGCGATGGACCAAACCTTGTTAAGTTGAGGTAAAGCGAACTTCGTGACGCTACAGAAAAAGGATCCTTGACTGGTTAATTGGTTTAGGAGTTTGTTTTCGTGTCCAGAACGGAAATAATAATAATAATAATAATAATAATAATAATAATAATAATAATAATAATAATACTATTAATTATTGATAAAACTATATTACAGGTATAAAACTAAGATGATAATAATAATAATAATAATAATAACAATAATTATAATAATAATTTATAAAATCTAAATTGTTGTAGTATGTATAGTATATGTTATAGTAAGCAGTTAATTTATGGTAAAAGTCTAAGCCTAAATTTTGGCACGAGAATTGTCTACTTCGAAGTCCGTTTCTTGAACGTTCGTTGTTATCCTCCTGGGTGCTCTAGTCCCTCTGAGACAAAGTAGAGCTGACCGCAAGATGGCAAAGGAGACCTTGGCTCGTATCCAGGACATAGTCGTAGAGTAGTCTTCGCCTTTCTTCGCTGCTATGAGCTCGGCCAATCTGCTATGATACCTCTTGCACTCTTCACTCATGCCTCCGGTCGTTGTAAATACTAATGGTGTAAAAGTTCCGTGTTCTATCTCCATCACTCTTTGGGCATACATCATCTTCTTCTCGTTTTCATGTTGCCTCTATATCTGTTGAGGGCTGAGGTCTTTCTAGGATTCCGCGTTGGGGTGACAAACCCTAACGTCAAAGAACGCGGACCTTTGTTTCTCCCAAAACCCTCGAGCGTGGATATCTAGGCGAGCGTCGGATGCTGTATTTGCTCCTCTTGGTAAAACCTCGCCAGTTAACTCTTGAAGAACGGGTTCAACCTCGACATCATTACAGACGATGTTAAGCATATCAGCCTCAAGATCCCGCAGCTCGTTGTGGCGCTGTATGATGAACCCACCTCGCTTGCAGATCATTGCGTCATCAATATTGAAAGTATCTCCACACACGCATAATGATGGCTTATCAGCAATTTTCCACTCATATCTCAGATTTACTGCGTCTCGAAACTCACCCTTGTTCAGATTGTAGTCCATTTCCTTAATGGGGATAACTGTTAGCCAGTTGGATGCACCTTTTTCAGTTGCTAGTTCCATAGCACATAGTTAGTTTCTAATTTCATAGTTTTCATTAAAGCAATTAAAAAAAAAGCACGCCGTGTTTTCGGGGGTAGAGAGTTCTTAATACCATCCCGTTTAGCCTGAAGTACATCGTTCTTTTCATTTCGCGCATTCTGCTGCAGTATGTGAATAACAGAGTCATCTGGAATTTCGTAGGCTTGTGCAATAATTTTCTTTATCGACGTTTCGTACTGCAGTGCTGCATCCTGTCTAGGATTTATAAGGCCAAGACAGCTCATTCGTACTGGGAGTGCTAGGAGATCCCTTTCACTCTTTGTACAGTGATGATCTGTAATTGATGGTATCAGGACATCAGCAATAGCACGCTCCAAGGGCTCCAGTAAATCTTCTATATCTGGAAGTGTTCTAAGAAAATACGTCCATCGATGGCGAAGGCCAAAGGTGAAAGCTTGAGGGTGTGACGCTGCGAATTCAGCTAGCTTGACGATTTGGCTAACCCAGTCCTCTACCTTGCCGTTGACGTATTCTTCCAGGAAAACCATAGAATCCAAGGCTGCGCCCAAATGCTTTTGCCCCTGCGCAAAGATATTGATCGCTGTCCCATCAAAATAGCATGAGCACTTTCTCCTTTCCAGGCTTTATGATCAGCCAGCATTTCTTAGCATTTGGAAGTTTCCTAAATTAGGGCCAGCTTCATTCAGGTGTTCCCACCATCGCTTGATATCTTTCAGAAATCCCGCACCACTCGCGTCGTCAGCAAACCAACATTGCTTAACATTGCTTGACACATTCAATCCGGTGATCAGGGGTTGAAGACTGATGGCATACATCCCCATGGCCTGGGGATCCCCTTGTGTGGTACCCTCGGTGGACTTGAGCTCTCCTCCACCAGATATAAATAGTCTAGCTGGTTCGCGAAAGGTGTTAATTGCGTAGGTTGACATAGATGGACACAGAACTGTTATGTTGTGGAGTGCAGCCGCTCGATTGAGTGCGTGAAATGTGTTTGAGGCATCAATCAGAAGTACGGCATCTGTCTCATCTGCTTCAAATATGGAGTGCATCGCATGAACGGCTGCCTCACTTCCGCTCTTAAGACCTACGCACAACTGTAGCGATCCACTGGCATCAATCACGTCGGGCTTAATCACTTTCATAACACATTTCCCGATAATCCTCCTGATAACTTCCCCGACGCCAATTGGACGAACCGCGCCCTCGCCTTTGTCAAGAGGTATAAGCCTGTTGGCTAATATAGGCTCGATAGTTCTCGTGTCAATGTATTCCGTACATAGCCGCCGGGTCATTGTTGCTACTTCCTCACACAAGTTTACGCCTGATTTCTTAAACGATTTACATGCGAGAATACGCTTGAATCCATTTGCATCCACTCCTGAAGGGCCGCCGGACCCCTTGGTTCGCATTGCTGTCTCGCGTATAATTTCGCCATCAATCTGCTGATATAACGAATCGTGCACTTCGTCAAATGGCCCGAAGAGTAACGAGCCAAGTTTGGCCTCTTGTGCCTCAGGGTGTTTCTCCTGAAGCAGTCTCATCACGTCGTCAGTCAAAGGCAGCACTCCATCACAATCAGCCTCACTGAGATATCTCAAAGCAGAATTGATCTGACCTTCCATGACCAACTTGGCGAATATCTTTGCTTTATTTGGAGGCTCCGTCCTTTTAGCCTTTGCTAGACGCTTTTGAATGGACCGGCCTTCACGAAGTAAGCTCTCGACTTCTCCTTTCCATAGCGCTAGTCGTTTTTCCAAGCACTCTTTGTGATCTTTTGCCTTCGATTTTACGCTTGGCTTTTGCAGTGCCGTTGCCAAGAGAACAATTGCAGCTTTCAGCGCCATGTGTTGTGTTTGCGATGCGTTGTTCCAATCGTTTATATGTTGTGTTAGCTGGTCGATAAAGTCTCGCCCAACTTTGCCATAAGGGACGAGGAAAGTATTTTTACGCCATCGCGTAATTTCATCGTATGCATTAATTATGGTTGACGAGTTGACCGTAATTATTGAGCCGTCCGCTCTTCGTCCCCAGATGGTAATCGATGGTATATCAACAGCAACATAGTCGGGTAGACGTCCTGCTTCATGTATGCCGGCGTGTGGTTCACCAGGACAGTTACTAGTCACTTCAAAGCCCCCTACAGCTTCGGTTTCTTGCCGTTCGTGACTGTTTTGGACAATATCATTGTCTGTATGCAAATCCAGATTGCTGTTTACCTCCAAATTTGCATTTTGACTAATGGTGTTTAAAAATTGTTAAATTCATGTTGTGAAATCGTGTTGCGCCTTCTCTGGTTTTCATCTAATAATAATAATAATAATAATAATAATAATAATAATAATAATAATAATAATAATAATAATAATAATAAGTATAGGTAATAGCATGGTTTCGAGTGCAATTTGGATATAACATGCACGAGTGAGTTTTTCAAAGACCTCAAAATAGCACGAGTCCGAAGGGCGAGTGCTATTTGAGGTCTCTGAAAAACTCACGAGTGTATGTTTATCCAAATTTCACGAGAAACCATGCTATTACTTATTAATAATTTACATAAAAATGTTCGAGACAATTGTAGTTTTAACTTACGCGTTTATAGCGAACATTCCACTGGCAAAGATTTCCTGGCTTTGTTTTATCACATTATACAACGCTAACAGCTTGAAAATTCCACTCAACTGAGTATTTTTTGTTAGTCTTGTTTAAGGTAAATGCTTTTCCATTTAAAAATAAAGATAAAAGCCATATTTTCCACGCGAAGGCAACTTTTACTTTGTGTAGCGCGGCGCCATGTTTGTTTTGTTTTGAAGCAATCTGTGATCGTTACTTCTTTAAAACTAAACTGCTTTAAACTGATTAGTTGATTTAATCATTACAATGTTTTGCCACCAATCAGATCAGTTTGCTACAGATTTTTGCACTGTGATTACAGAAAATTGCACTGTGATTACAAAAAATTGCACTGTGATTACAGAAAATTGCACTGTGATTACAGAAAATTGCACAGCTGTTTGGGATTAACTGCACTGAAATCAACCAATCACAGTCGAGTGATATCTTTATGTATATTATTATAAAAATAATAATAATAATAATAATATCAGCAAAATAAATAGTTGCTAAACAGCTCGTTTGAAAAATTTGAGAACAACGAACATGCTTTCACTCGTCAACAAGCGCGACAAATCGATCTAGGACCCCTGTCCAGTGTAGACGTTGATTCTGGATACAAACTGCAGGACGCCGAACTTTTGAGCGAGTGTATCTCAGATGCGGCAGTTTGTAGCTCCTGCAGTAAACCTTCTTCTAAGCTCCAACTGCTTCAGAGAAATAATGAAAGAGAATGTTTGTCGGAGTTCGGAAATGTTCATTTTGCAAGATTGAAACTGCACAAAGTAAACGTTTGGGTGGCGAAGGTGGGGCACATGATGTAAATCGTTGGTCAGTGTTGGCATTTTGGGGACAAAGTGGACTAACTAACTTTTGTGCTGCAATGAATTTACTTCCTCCTGTGACCAAAAAGGCATACAATGAACGCCTTATAAATTGAAAAGGTAGCCATTGGAAATTACGGGAACCACTGAGTATTATTTTTATAAAACAACGGTAACTCCGAAAATAAACAATTTAATATTCTAGCTTGCGACTAAGATTCAATCATCATCAGGAATGATAATGTAATGTAATGCATGTTAATGTAATGTATGTTAATGTAATGTAACGTAAACGTAACGTAATGTAATGTAACCTAGCATCATTCCTGATGATGACTGAATCTTAGTCGAAAGATACAATCCTGGACAAAACATCTGCGACACTTCCAATTACTTGACAAAATGTCGTAATATTATCGTAAATTTAGAAAACTTCCCCCTTTCCCCCACCATTCAATGTTGATTGAATTCATGGAATAAGGATTAAACGTCCAACATTGTTTTGGGGGTGGAGGGGGGCAAACGAGTAAATTATTCCGGTCTAACTGGTAAAAAAAGCCAGAAAGGAATGTTTTAATAGAGTGTCGCAGATAGTTTTGTCCAGGATTGTCTGTATCTTTCAAGTTAAATAACCAAGCCATTGCGCATTAAAAATTGAGTTTTATGCAGGAATTTCTCTTTCCGTAGTAAATATGGCCAACTAGAATGTGTTAGGCTTCAAGAAGCAAATACCACATGGTCGACAAGGTAATGTAACACCCTCGTGCAGCGCTCTGCTTCGATAGCTAGGCCTACTCTGGGGCGGTAAATCGCCTTAAATCGCTGCGATATAATGCGATTTTAGGCGATTTAAAGAAAAACTGGGACTTTCAAGCTCTGCCATTTAGTGCGATTTTAGGCGATTTAAGAAAAATTTTAAATCTAGGGATTGCAATTTAGGTGTTTTCAAAGGAATTGAATTCTATATTTTGCTCCAGTTTCCTCCCACAGGGCAAAATTGGCAGGGTGGGTTAGGATAAACACAGTTAGGAAAGTAATATCATATCCTCATTGTTGTAAAGATAAATAGTCTAGGCTAACATAAGTGATCATAGTACTTGATGTAATCGATCACTGAAAAGCCCCAATGTGGGGAGTGTGCTGAATAATAATGTAATGTTTCCACACACATATGCATTGTATGAAGCAAAATACAATTATTAGAACATGTATGTACATTTTATATAAAGCTAGGTTAACTATTGTATTTAACCTGATTCACATATAAAGCTCAATATTCATGAACTTTTCACCCATTCTCTATTTAGAAGCCATTGGGGTTCATTTTGGGGGTCATAGCAGGGTGTTAGCTAGCCCATATGCTGTCCGTTTGACGGACTCTTCCCAATTGAGGGCTTTTCCAACTGGGTCTACTGGAAAATTAGCACGTGTCCCCCAAAATTTTAACGGTCGGGCAAAAATCAATGCGAAATTGGTCAAAACCTAAATATTTCAATATTTTGTGAAAAAATGTTCGGATTTGGCGGAAATTACGGAATATTTCTTTGATATCTCCTGAAAAATTTTTTTGGTGACCCCCAACCCCCCCCCCGCTCGCCAAGAATTTTGGGAAAAATATTCAGCTAAGTTCAGTTAAAACTTTCCCAATTTACGTTTAACGGACAAAATTTTTTTTTCTGGCTAACACCCTGCATAGCTACATTTATATACACCACAAATATTGTAAACAGTTAATATACTCTACTTAAGGGGCATGCACTACACATATCGAGTTAAAATTGCAAAATATAATAAATATTTGATTTCCAAAAAAATCACAAGGGGTAGGGGATAGAAACACACAATGTATTTATACAGTATAACTGAATAGGCTATAATCCCATAATTTACCTTGTCACCCTTGTAAGTGAAATTGTCTTGTTTTGTATCATGTCAAAACTTCTTTATTTAGCTTGCATTTTATTTAAACTGTTTCAATCTCGTGCTTTCTTCATGCTACAAACATATTTATAATTTTTTTGATATCTACATCATATGATATCCCAGTGCCATATCCAGAAACAGTGTCGTCACGCATTCGGAAACTGTCGGAGTAATGCCGTAATGTTTAAATTACATGAAGTATATCGTATATAAATGGTAGGAATTCTAAATTATTTTAAAATTAAAACCAAAATAGTACAGTGTTAATTGTTAAACAAATGGCGCACTACATCGTGGTTTTAGGTTCTGCAAACAAACAACACCAAAAGATCTATTGTATGGTATGTAAGATGTAATCATTGTTTTACTGTTTATTGTATATACAAGTCTGGAAATTTTAATAGGCGAGAGTTGCAAATCGCTCATAACCTCACGTATATTTTTCGTTTGATAGCCACTATAATTATAACTAGGAGCTAGAGTATAACCATGCACATGTCGAAAGTAGTAATGGGGTAATGTTTGTTAAAAAAAGGGGGGGGTGTGAACTAAGTTAAAATTTAGTATAAAATAAATGGTAAAACATGCTGAAAAAACATGCCGAAAAGTCCCTACTGGTATGTTGTGGACGGGGGGTATTTTTCATGGGCGTTAACCTATTAAAAAAAGGGCGTTTGCTGCGCGGTTTGCTAAGGGGAGCTGTGACACCTAAGCCTTGGTCGACCGAAGTGAGTGTTATTTTAAATTTCGCGGTATTTAACTGTTTTTGTGGGCGGAAATGACGTCATAAGTCAGTATTAATAGTGTGACGTGTTTATTGGTTAAAAAATAATATTTTTTTAGGGTATTCTTTAGCTGTTTTGTCAGATATTAAAAAATATTAACATTTTTTAATATTTTTTAATATTTTTCAACATTTTACAAAATATGATATTGAAAATATTATTGTTTTCTAATATTTTTTGGTGTTTTTCTGAAAATTGTGTCAAGTGGAAGTTGAAGTAAAAAGAAGCTGAAGCTAAAAGTGGAAGTTGCATGAATATAAAATGCGTAAAATGTGTAAAATATGTTTAAAATACATTTTGTGTGTGTGGGTAAAAAATACTAAAAAAAATGGCGCAAGTATGTCGGGAAAATTGTAGCTGTAATAGCTGTATACGGAGAAAAGGGATAAGATGAAAGAAATCTTTGAGGGTGCTGGCACTGCTTTGCTGTGTGGGGATAGCGAAGAATGGTTCGATGATGAGGATGAGGAGTTTATGTTTACGGGAAATAACGAATGGTTCGAGAAGGCATGGGAAAATGGTTTAAAAGAACGCGAAGAAATGTTGAACGGTTATAAACGTGTACGGGAGTACCAAAAGCAGGCTGAAAAGGACGGTGAAAGACTAGTGCGAGACTGTGATTTAATAACTAAACAAGTTTAGAAGATATATATTTATAAAAGTATTATGCAGTAAAGTTTACGATTGTGATAATAATAATAAAATATTTTTTGTATATCTACATGGGTTTTTTCATTAAATTGTGCATGGTTGCTTCGGCAGCATTAATTTTAAGTAAAATTTCCCGCTGTTCTTTGATGATGTCTAAGGATTTTTTACGTAAATCACCAAATAGTTCATATGTCAAAAATTGTTTTTGTGTATTTACAATAATGTCACCCCCTTTACATTTAGTAAAAACGGTTTTGCTTTTTCGGAAGGTATCAGTGATTGTTCCAACAAGTATAAGTTTTGCCTCCCGCAGCTGTAATACTTCTAAATCATCTTCCCCATCTATCTTCATCAGTGTTTCCCTTATCGTGGGTCGTCCAGATAAACGGGGTTGTACTTCCGCGCGTTTTCTCTTGTTTGTTTTCTCTTCCTCGTCATGAATTTTTTTTGCCATAGATACATCTTTACCGCGGTGTTGTTGTGGTTGTTGGGTTGTTGCTAGGTTATTATTGTCGTCGAAGTCTGACTGTAATAATGATGTATCAAATTCTATATTCCCAATCATGTCTGCGGAAGAATTTAGTTCCTCAAGGGTAATTCCTTCGTTTCCAAATATCTCAGCGGTGATGTTTTGCAGTTCGCTAGGGGTGAAATTATCAACGTTAAGTTCTGTCTGTTTGTTATTTTGGTTCTCCTGTTGGTTCTCGTCTGCAAATATCTCGGTGGTGATGTCTTGTTGAAGTTGTGGGATTCCAAACGTAAAGTTTTTAAATTCTCCGTTGTTGTTGGGTAGTACACTAGCGGGTTTTGTGAGAGTATCAATTAAAAGTTTTTTTGCCGGTTGGGTTTTTACTCTGTTGCCATTTAATAAAGTCATACGATAGGTTTTCAGGTGAATTTTCTGTGCTGTGTTGTTCTCGATATGAATTTAATTTTTTAAATTCTTCTATCCAATAATCGATATTAATATTGGGAGTAGATATAGCAATACCGCAAAGATCCAAGAATTCAAAGAATCCACCTTTTGTAGTCATTTTATTTGTGGAGAAAAAAATATAGCAGTTCTTCTTATGAATAACCCAATGCGAATGATTGTAAAATGTATATATATGTCTTGGTATTTTACAAAGGTTACACCCAAATAAGGATATGTTATGGAATGTTTCAAGTTATTTTACATATATATATATATATATATATATATATATATATATATATATATATATATATATATATATATATATATATATTCCATATGTCCATAGGGTGTTTATGTGATGGTATGTGTTTGTTGCTGTAACAACAAAATATTTTGGAGATTATTTTACAAAAAAAAATGATTAATAAGATGAAACAGCTGTTGTTGTTCTGTTGTCGGTGTATTTATTTTTATGATATGAAAAATATGTATAAATTTTTTATATTTTTAGCATTTTTGTTTGTGTATTATTATATAAGTATATATTGTGCTGAAAATATATTGTGCTGTAAAATTACCGATTTTATACAATATTATAATGAACATTATTCAGGGACCGTGATGGAATTTTATGAGGTGTGTGTGTGTTATAAGTATTTTATTTTAAATAAGTTTTTTTCTAAGTGAAGGAAAATGCCGTTTGGAAACGAGGTTGATTTTTTGGTTCACCAACCCTGTGAAACAATTTCAGATGATGAACCGTTAATAATGATAAAAATGATAAAAGATGATTATTCTTTTTATAATTATTTTCTAAATTTTTCCCGAAATCATGCAAGTGCAGGGCATAATTGGCCAGTTGTTTGGACGGGTGATCGATTTATGTCGATGCCTAGTTTTTATATTTATCTTATAGATGGAACATTATATGATGACGGCGAAAGAGTAATAACAATTGGAGTTATCCATTGGTTGATGAGGATATATGCTGAAATACAAATAACATTTTCGATTTATGCTATCCATTATGATACTGATACTTATGTATTTTTACCTGGAGTAACATTTGAGCAATGGGGCTATAAATTTGAATATGTGGAGTTGGGCGGTCTGACAACTACCGACACCATATTATTTGTTAGTAAAACTGTGGACAAAGTTCTTGAATATATTTCTCTGAAAGTTAAAGAAAATCCCGAATACCAAGTGTATGATATACCTCAAATTGAAAAGGACATACAACAATATTGTGTGGTTAACGGGGTTCAATTATCTCGACGTTTGTTTCAAGTTTTGATTAACAATCAATTTCTGGTAAATACAGTTTATGATTTTATTAAAGAACAATATTGTCAAGATTCAGGTTGTAAAAAACTGTGTTATTGTGGCAGTATTACAGACGGGGTGTTAACTGATTTAACATTACAGTTTGAAGATCGTGGCAATCTGGTGGGGAATGTATTGTTTTGATAAACCTATTTTTAAAGACACACGCAAACTTTGGGATTATGTAAACTGTGAAACTGGACCAAATAAGACAATTTCTATTATCCCTGGCGGCACACCAGTCGCAAAAAAAACTGTATTTGTATGTTATAATAGATTGTTTTGTAATGTAGATAAATTTTTATATTGTACGGATTTTGTATCGCGTGAAGATCGTGTTGAATTTGTAGTGACTTTACGTAGTTTAGATATAAAACCTGTAGATGTTTTATATGTACATAGTCATGATACTCATATTCATGCAAGGGTAACTGTAAAATATATACCTAGCTTTAATAGTTCAGGTGTTTTATACGATAGTTTTGGTGTGCATTGTGTCGATGATATCTGTGTCCTTATAGAAAATACGTATCGGGGTGACATTAAAGATATATTAGATACTGTAAAAGAATGTTGTACAATGGAAGATGATAAAATATTAGATAAAATAGCTTTGAAACATAAAACGATATTTTGTACTGTTATTGAAGACGTGTATTTTGTTATTGAAGACGTGTATTTTACAGTGTGTGTACCCTACGAATTATTTCAAGATGGTTAGAGGTTCCACATCGACATTTTATTTTGAAACATATGTAAACGAGGAGAAATTATTACAGATACTACAATGTTTTTTAAAAAGTGGCTCTCTGTCGTATTATCGTTATTTATCATACGTTCTTACACGTATTAATGGAAAAGATTGTGTGAAAATTATTGGCGTATTACAATTTGTTAAGCGTTCTTCAACACGAACAGTTCGGGCTTTGTTTGAAAGTGGAGATGTTTATATTGACACAATTCAACCCAGTCAGAAACCGAATGTTTTATCATTTATGAAAATGTATGTGTTGGGGAGTCGTCATCGTGTGGAATGGTCTGAAACCAAATGGTCTAAAACATCATTTAGTTTTGGCGGTCGAAAAATATTTAATAAGGAATTTGAAAAAATGGAACCCTATATTAAAACATTGGAATTTTCTAGAAAATATGATAAGGATGATTTTCCCTATGACTTACCTGGTGCTAGAATAATTTGTAAATTTAAAGCTCATTTAGATAGATGTATAATGAACATTTAGACAAACGTTTATATACTAGTATTGACGATTTAAACGACATTCGCCCAATGACTCTTGAGGAGTTCATTACTTGGCGGAGTATAAAATTTAAAGAATGTGAATTTCTATAGAAAAAAAATAACAACTTAAAAATTTTTTTTATAACTATACTTTTTTTTATATAATAAATTGATATGAATTTTCAAAATGTGTAAATTATATCTTTTTACTTATAAAAGACCGAAAATGAAGTGTTTGAATATTTTCTAGAGGTGTTAGCAAGTTATATATATATATTATGTTTTTTGGTATTTGGTGGTCAGTAGTGAAAGTGAACAGGGACCTTTACGAGAGGGCTCAGCTGAATAGTAACGAAGGGTATCTTATACTGGAAAATTTATTTGAATTTATTGGTTGAATAAAAGAAAACGCATCGGTGAATTATACACGTCGTTTTATTGCAAGAATATAAGAAGAAAATAACATAAAGGTTTGTATATATATATATTTTTTTAATTATTGGTAATATTGATATACAATGGGTATTCTGTTCAATCGTTTTTTCCTTGTGGGTAACCCACTACCTTGCTGGATTGCTCCACTTTCTTCCCCCATTTCTAACCAGGCTTGTTTTACTTTTTTCTTGCGTTTTTGTACACCTTTTTTGACTCGTTTTACTTGTTTATTTAATACACCCGCTGCAGCGTTTAAAAGTATATCTTTAATTGAGAGTTGTGAGGTTGCACTGCCTCCGCGTTGTGTTGCAACTAGATTCCTAAAATTAGCTAAATTACCCGGAGTTTTACTACCACCACGTTGGGGTTTACCAGCAATACCCCAGTTAAGGGAACTAGGTCCTGTTTGTCGCGGGTATTGTCTCTGTCTAACCATCTTTGTTTCGTTGAATCGAGATTAAAAATGAATATCATGGGTTTAATGCAAACTTATTTATTGCCAGTATGCTCGTCCGTAATTTGTAAAGATTTCCTGATGGGGTGGAATATATTTTGTTGCTTTTAAATTAAACATTGTATGCCCGCCACGTAGTTTACTGTTATTTTTAAATACTGTTTTTCTAGCGTCATTTGCAAATCGTGCAGCAGCGTCCGTGGTATGATTTGCATCTATACAATCACCCCTATTATTGCATATAGCATATTGTGCTGTAGCACTAGCGTATTTTTGATCAATTTGATGTTTAGTTCGTTTTCGACCTGTATATTTCGATATAATTTTCCCTTTTCGTGTTCCTTTTTTCCAAGTGAATAAACCCTTGCCAGCATTGATAAGTTTTGAGGGTTTAATACGAAGATTGTCTTGTTTTGCTAAATGTATCCAACATTTAGGAGTGTGCGCCGTGCGTTTTAAACAGCGTTTATTACGTAATGTATCTGAAATACATTGTTTTGACTTTCGTATACTTTGATTACTTTGTCTTTTTCTTCGTTGTACCGATTTATATTCGACATTATCAACGTATCTATTCAGAAAATTGTTTACGAAACGACTCATATTATACACGCCAAATTGCTGTAACACCAATATATTTTTGGTAAATATTTTTGATGAATTTTATTATGTTATCTATTTTAGATAGTACATGTGGAGGACACTCTGTTTTCTCCAAGAATATTTCTCTTCTCTGTTGAAGCTGGTCTAATTCGACATTATATATCTTTCCCTCATCCTTGGCAAAACTATGTATTGCCTCTGGAAAAAAATCAGGTGTGAAAATTAAACATTCATCATTGTCTTCTACTTCATAACCCACTTTATATTGATCCAAATCTGATTTAGATTTTTCGTTTAGTATATATATTGAAATATGTATGGGGAGCATATCATAACTCGTTGTGCACGCGTTGTTAGCTCACAACAAAGTGTTTTGTGGTAAAATGGGGGCGAAATGTTTTAAAGATTCGGATACGCCGTGGTTTGATGTAAAATGTAATTGTATTACGGTATATAATAGTGATAATGCCAATGTTGATGTTACAGACGCTCCTGAAGGAGAAGAAGATAAAGACCAGGAAAAATCGCAACAAAACATATCATGGATCAAAAGAAAAATAAGAGAAAGGCAAGCTCGCCAAGTATTGGCAAAGTGGAGGGAAAAACAAAACGGAGAAAAATAGACGGAAAGGAAAAGACTGTGGATTTAGTAAGGAAACTTTTAGATACTTTATCCGATGAGAAAAAACGCGAACAAAGTATTAGACAATTAGCAAAAATGATTGAAGGTAATAATAGAAAAGATAATTTACGTAAACTAGCGGGTATGTACGTAGAGCGAAATAATCAAAAAAATAAGTTATCTAAGTTAGCCGGTATGGTAAAAAATAATCGTCGTACGCGGGGTAGTTATGTTATTGAGGATAGAGATATCCGTGAATTGGCACGCATAGTTAAAAGTAGAAGTAATATGAATATTCCCAAGACAGTTTTTAATATAGACTTATTGAGAACACATGTGCGTTTTGGTTATAATGAATATATATACAATGTAGACATTGGTAGTGAGCATTTGCATACGCTACCTGATTTTTATAATAATTTGCGTACAGTATTTGAATATTTATTAAACTGTATGCATTATTATGCGGAGACGAATACCGACAAAGCAAGGTTCTATATTTCTAATGCTCCACGTACAGCTTTTTCGACTGCAATTTTATCGGTATCTGATTTTACTACAGATATGTTTTTTGACATTTTCGAAAGACACATGCAAAGTAACGCACAAGAGGTTATAAATAATGGTTGGCACACGACTGTTAGTTTGTATATTTTCCCGAATACGTATGCTAGACGCCACCCAAGAAAAAACAAAAAACAAAACAAAACCGTTGAAATTTTACGCTCATTTAGGTAAGAGTAATGCGGAATCGGGTCGTGGTAAAAAAAATGAGGTGGCGACTAAACATGGTAGGGAAGTCCGCCATGGTGTTTTTCAGATCGGCAAGGGCAATGTTACAAATACTTGTTTGGCTTTATCTCTTCTGGTGGGTATATCCCATTTACATTCGGGTGAAAAAATGAGTAAGTTACAACGTAATAGAAACACGACCTTGACAGAACTATACGACGACGACGACATAAAGAAAGTATATGCGGAATCGGGTTTAAATGTGGGCGCGGTTCGTGTTGATCAATTACATTTAGTGTATACGGGGTATTTAAAACCGCAGGGTGTGGATTTAGTTGTTTTTTCAAAAGCAAAAGATGATACTGTGGTGTACGATTCCCGCTTGGACGATTCGGGTGTGGTGGCTCGAATTACAAAGCAAATTATCTATTTATGGTTGAATGATTCACATTATGATTTGATATTAGACCCGAATGTATTTTCTCGTTGTAGTAGGGGTAAATTTTGTTTTACATGCATAAAATATTTTAAACGGAATGAAACTGTGGATACTCATACGTGTCGAACGTCAAGTACTTGTCAACGTTGTTATGCTTCATTAGTAAAATGCCCGAAGCAAGCAGGTGTTAAGCAACAGTGTACTGAGTGTGGTATTTTTTTCATTAATTCGGAATGTTTCGTAAAACATTTAACACAACGTATATTTAAGACCTCCTGTAATCGTATGGAGACTGCGTGTAATCGGGGTTTTTTTTGCAAAACCTGTTATAAGATAGTTCCACGAAAAATGTTCGTGAGTAAGGGGAAATTTAAAAATCATAATTGTTCCGAAGTGTTTTGTTTGCACTGTAATAAGTTGGTAAAGGGAGATCATTATTGTTATATAAAACCGATACGTATTGCAAACGAGAGTAAACACCCGACATTATATTTTTACGATTTTGAAACACGCATGAATAGTGAGGGTTATATGGTGCCGTTTTATTGTGCAGTTCAAAAAGTTTGCGTTGTTTGTGATGAGATGCCTTTTGTAAAGACATATGAATATTTTTCCCCATCCCGCAGATCATCGTTGTGATATATCTATAGAACCTGTCGAGTGTTGTGGATATAGACAGTATGTGTTTGAGAAAAATAATGCCGATATAGTGGAAGATTTAATGAATTTTATAATGGAACAACCGAAGGGTAGCGTGTGGATTGCACATAATGGTGGTCGTTTTGATAGTATATTTTTAATGAACGAGTTATTGGTAAAGAGACGGATTGTCCCTCGTGTAATTATGAACGGGAATAAGATTATGTGTATCGAATTGGAAGAACGTAATTTGAAAATTATCGATAGCTTTCTTTTTGTTAGTATGAGATTGAGTATGTTTCCTAAAGCGCTGGGTATTAAGGATATTACAAAGGGTTTCCATCCGTATTTATTTACGGATTTAAATTATGTGGGTCCTATGATTGGTTTAGAATATTTTGAACTGCCTCCCAAAGGCAGTGAAGAACGTGGAAAGTTTGATAAATGGTATGAGGAGCAAAAAAATAAAACCTATGTATTTCGTGAAGCAATCTATTATTATTGTCGGTTGGATGTCGATATAATGAGACAGGGTTGTATAATTTTTGCTCGTTTAATCAATAAAGTTACGGGTGTTTTACCCTTTTATGACAGTACTTGTCATACGGTAGCTGGTTTGGCGCTTAAAATTTATCGTAGTAATTATTTGCAAAAAAACACGATTGGGCAAATACCCGCAAATGGTTATGGAGGTGTAAAAGTAAATCAAAGTGCCATTGCGTTATGTTGGTTGCGAGAAATTGAAGAGGAATTAAGGGGTTGTGACTTTATTCTTGATAGTCGTTTATCTGTTAAGGGCGAGCAGAAAATTCTTAATTATTACGTACAGGGGCGGATCTAGGGTAAGTCCAATCAGTCGCGTGACTGACGTATTTTTTGCAAAGAAATAATTAATTTATTATTTCGAAATTTGAATAATTAATTCCCGAATATAATATGAAATTCATATCATAGTCCAGTATACGTCTTTACGAGCTCAGTTTTGAATTAAATATATGCTTTATCTAGAGCAGCGGTAAAACGCAAGAATCTCGCAGAATCGGGTGGTCGTTATGCTCATTTGATTGGTCGAGAGGTCATTTGGACTTATCTCGACTGATCTGTGGGGTGGCCGGACTGATTTGCACTTTAAGGGAGTCTTTTTCAGTCCATTTCGTTCCTTTGATTGGTCAATTTGAAAATATTGTGGGGAGGTCGGACTGAATTGCAACTTAAGGGAGTTTTTATGGGGTGGTCCGACTGATTTGCACTTTAAGGGAGTTTTTATCAGTCCATTTCCTTCATTTTGATTGGTCAATTTGAAATTATTGACAATTTCTATTGGTTCATTTTTTTGGACTGATTCGGACTTATTCGCGGCAGGGGATATCAGTCCTTGAAAATTGCGAAATTCATGCAAAGCAGTCTTTCATATTCCCGTATACGAAGGTTTTTCATAGTTGGGAGAATTATTTTACGATGTCGAGTATTTATATGTACGCGGCCGATTTTACGAAACGATTTAACGGCCTTTAATAAACTTGAATTGTCTCTGAATGAGGATTATTGTGGGGCAGCTAAGATATCAAGCGAGCAGCTTTTATAATGTTGTTCTGTTCAACAACGAGAAGGCACTAAGTTGGGACTTCTCTGCTGCGTGCTTCACAATAAATCACAAAGATCATGGTCGTAATTTGAATGGTAAAGCCAAAGGGAAAGTGTGCACTGCTATAATGTATGAAAATATCCAAAATTATGAAACAGAAATGAATATATTGCAATGTATCTTGTATGATAAATGCGAAGTTGAAATATAACACGCTTTAATACATTTTTACACGCAATCGACTTGCAACTTACAATGCGCTTTCGGGCCTTATAGCTTTCCTGCTGTATTTATAATTTATAAATGCATTGTTCATTATAAAAAGGGCCAGAATAGAGCATTGGCATTGGAGGGTTAAAACAATATAATTTGGATGATTTGCATTGCATGAAAGATTTGCGATGAATATCGTTATAATATACAAGTGATATTTATAGCATATTGTAATTCATTGAATAAAAAATGCATTTTACAAAGTATAACTGAAATATTACTCTTTATTTTGCTTGAAAATTTTGATTCACAAACAGCGAGTTATATTGGATCGGCCATTGGTATCATATCACTTCAATTTGCGAAGGATTTCATGAGCCAAACTCAAAGGCTATTGAAAGTTGAAACTACATGATGTGTTTTGTAATATGACCCTCCGTTAGTAAATCTAATTCCGAGGACTGGGAGAAGGCACGTTTGTGAGATCATAAAAAAAGCATGTGCTTGATGTACTTTATAATCTTTGGAATTCTGCAAAATCTCACCGCCAAAACGCTTGAAATCGCATTTCAGAGACTCTAGATTTCAAAATTTTCCGGGGGGCATGCCCCCAGACCCCCCTAGCAAGTCTCACGCCTTCGGCGTTCGACTTATGTTTGAAAAATCCTAGTTCCGCACCTGATTACGTAGATGGGTATTGTGCACAGACTAACACTATTTATCAATTTCATGGGTGTTTTTATCATGGTTGTAAAAAACGTTATGATGCCGATACATATAACGCCATATTAAATGAACGTTTTTTTGTGTTACGTTCGCGAACAGTTCGTTTGACAACGTTATTTAGACAACACGGATACAAAGTTATTGAGAAATGGGAGTGTGATTATAAGGAAGAAAGAGAGATAACCGATAATTATTTAGATCGTATTAGGTTAACTGATTTTTTTATATATCTTGACTTAAACCCTCGAGACGCTCTTTTCGGTGGGCGTACATCGCCAGCTGTGTTATATTATGATTGTAATAGGGGTGAGAAAAAAAAAGATATTTTATGATGACGTCACTTCTTTATATCCGCATGTTCAGAAAACTTTTGATTATCCCACTCAACATCCTGAAATTTATCGTGGCGATAGTTGTAGACAGGCGAATATTTGTGATGTTTTCGGGTTGATAAAATGTAAAATTCTACCCCCTGGGGGTTTATTATTTCCCGTGTTACCTTACCGCACGAATAAATTAACTTTTCCCCTTTGCGCAACATGTGTTGCAAAACGTCAACAGGAATTGTGTCATCATGATGACAATCCACGCCGGGTCAGCTCTTCCCAAAAATCGGCCATCTGATATAAACTTTTTCAATATATTTCGGATGGACATGAAACTTGCTACATCAATATAACTTTCCATTCCGAACAATCGTATGTTTTTTATTTTTGAGATTTAACGGTTTTTGGCGGGAAAATGACGTCAAGAAACCTCCAGTTAAAATTTACTTTCAATATCTTAATAGTTTTGTCGCAGAATTTGGAAGAACATGTCATGAACAGTTCAAAACTGAAAACAGATTTTAAATATCTAAACCTAATCCAAAGTTATTTCACTATAAAAACCGTGAAAAATCTAAAAATAGTAACAAAATGGTGGAAAATTCGATTCTAAACTCCCTGTATCTCATGATTAGATTAAGATATTTAAAATCTCTTTTCAGTTTTGAACTCTTCATGACATGATCTTCCACATTCTGCTTAAAAACTATTACGATATTGAAAATAAATTTTAACTGGAGGTTTCGTGACGTCATTTTCCCGCCAAAAACCGTTAAATCTCAAAAACAAAAAACATACGATTGTTCGGAATGGAAAGTTATATTGATGTAGCAAGTTTCATGTCCATCCGAAATATATTGAAAAAGTTTATATCAGATGGCCGATTTTTGGGAAGAGCTGACCCGGCGTGATCAGCGTGCACTATATGGCACGTGGACTAGTATTGAGGTACAAAAAGCTATCGAGATGGGGTATAAGGTTCTCGAAGTATATGAAATATATCATTTTAAACATCGCGGTAAAATTTTTGATACATATGTGGATACTTTTATGAAGCTCAAACAGGAGAGTAGCGGCATCCCCGCAAGATGTCTAGATTCGGAGGGGGAAATTGACAAGGAGAAATTATCATTGTATATCGAGGAATATTTTGAGCATGAGGGTGTTCGACTAGATCCCGATAAGATGAGTTACAACCCGGGACAAAGAACAGTTATGAAAGCCCTTTTAAATTCTATCTGGGGTAAATTAGCACAAAATGAGGATACGACTGTGGTTTCGTTTGTTGATACAATGGATGAATTATTAGAGATGGTTAACAATCGAACTATAAAAGTAACATCGCTTGATTTTATAAGCAATAATGTAGCGCGAACCACACATAGAAAAGGTTGTAGTTTAACACCCCTACAAAATCGTAATGTTATTGTGGCCTCATTTGTGACTGCTTATGCATGTTTAGAACTATATAAATATCTGGAAATATTAGGGAAAAATGTTTTGTATTATGATACGGATTCTGTAATATATTTTGCGGGTGATGATGATGATTGTCTTGAAAGGGGGGAGTATCTCGGTGACATGACAGATGAATTATATGAAAAAGATGTGAAAGGAAAAAAATGGATTGAACAATTTTGTGCTGCGGGCCAAAAGCATATTCGTATCGAACAAACGAATATACTCGAATAATGAAAGACGGTACGGAAAAACAACAGCGTGATGAGGTCACACACGTAAAAGGGTTCACGTTGAAAGGCGAAGCAAAAGACAAAATTACTTTTGAGAGTATTAAAAACTGTATAGAAAATAAAGGGGATAGTATAGAAATAACATGTCGCGAATTTTCACGTGAAAATAGTCAAAATATATTAGTGAAAAAAAATATTAAAAAATTTTCATTTACATTTGATAAACGTGTAGTACATGATGACTTTACGACAACGCCGTATGGGTATAGGGGTTAATTTTTTATTTTTTTATTTTTTTAGCTATATTATAAAGATCTACATAAATAGTTTTACCCCTGGAACATCCTTTTATGATGACTATATGTGGGCCGACACAGTGTGGGAAAACGTATAAAATTGTCGAACTTATCGACAACATTGACAAACTTATACAACCGACACCTGACAAACTTATATACCTATATACTGCGGAACAACCGTCATATGATAAAATTAAGGAAATAGTAAGAAATAAAGCGGAGTGGTCAGCACTAAAATCATGCGAGTTTTTAGAATGTACAAATCGGGTATTATCTACAGAAGAGCTTAATTAAACCGAAACTTGGAAATGCAACATTGCTTATTTTAGATGACCTAATGGTTTTGTCCATGCAGTCGACAGAGAATGCGGATAATTTAAATAATTTAGCGTCACGTGACAGCCATCATTTAAATATTTCTGTGATATTTGTATGTCAAAATCTGAATTATGGAAATGGTAAATTACGTAATGCCCGTATAAATAGTTTATACCACATGGTTTTTAATAATCATACTGATATTCGCGATATGGAATTAATTGCTCGAAATCGTGGTATTCGTCTACCCGTATTACGTAAAATTTTGAAAGATGTAGGGCAAAAACAATATGGTTATTTGTTATTTGACGGGTGCATTACATCACCCGCTAACACACGAATACGCACGGGTATTTTAGCCGATGATGAAACAATAATATACAATGTATAATATGATAAAATAATATTTATTAATAAAATTTTACTTATCCATATGTTTCTAAATATGTTTTACAAATTTGACCACCGTTAGATTTATGTTTACGTTTATATACATGTTGAAGATTAGGAAATGTTTTGAAAGCAATTTGTTGTAGTTTTACTTCATTTTCTATAAGTTTTTCCTGATCCACATCAAATATGTCATCAAATTTAATCTTATGACCAAAATAACTATTTAAAAATACTAAGCACCACACTCCACATGTTCTACTAATATAAGATTGTTTTTGTATTTGTGTATAGAGATTAAAATTACATTTAGGATTTTGAAAATAGGACATCCAGTATTTTCGTTTATAAAAAACAGGTGTTTTACCAAAACTGTCGAAAAATATAATATTGTTTTTATCCTTAATCACGCATACCCAATGTAATCCCTCGTGAGTATCTTCTTCTGTATTCCACACCCAGCAACATTGATCATTAACCCCCTTCGGTTTAACATTCGCAGGTTAACAACCAAGAAAATGGGGTTTAATAACAGGGATGAAGCATGTTAATGAGGGCATTTTAAAAGTATTTTCTTGATCTTCCAATACGTGAAGTTGTAGGTGTTGTTGTTAGCGGTCGTCTTAGGGGTGTTGTTGTTGTTCTTGTTGTTAACGGTGTGTGTGTATTTTCTTCCGATTCTAGAGCAATTTTATATTGTTCCTTCATTTCTTTATTACGTATATAGGATACGGGCATGTTAATCCTTTTTAATAAAGTTATCACACGATCTCTATTTGCGATTGTTAAATTAGGTTGAGTACGTGTAAAATTATGCGTTAAATCAGTAATCATGTCGTCATAGGATATGGGTAAGTTTGTTCCCGTATTAGTACGTATACCATTTTCCTGAGGTTTAACATTTTTACTGGCTAAAAAATTTGTAATTAAACGTCGTGAGCATGCAACTGTAGCGGGTTTTACGGGGGTGGGGTTAGCTGCGGTCGGTGGGGGTGCTGCACCTTGTGCACCATCATCATTATCTACGTCGGGAACTATTGATTTTTTATAATTGTCTTTTTTATTTAGGAAATTAATAATATCTCTACCCGCCACGGATGATTTAGTTTTTACAGATTTAACAGCTTCACCATGTGCTTCAATAAGTCCTGCCTCTTCAGGTGTACGTGTGGTTGTATCTAGTAATTTTTGCCGTGCGGAATTATCGCGTAACAGATCCATTAACGAGTTGAATTTTTCGGCGTCGATTAGTGTTAATCTTTTTACTGTTTCCCCCATTTTTTACCACGGATTCTAGTATTTTCACAGCTTTACGAATATGTGCGTGTATGCGAAAATCCTCAACCAGTGTGAATTTTACATCCTTCTGTGGCGTATCTTTATCCAAAATATATTCGAGAACCTCTAAATCCGAGGGGTGTGTTTTCACCTCAATTTTATTATGATATATTAAATCGCAAACGTGTAATAAATTTTTGACTATTTGCGGTGTAAGATTGTTTCCCTTCTCATCAATATCATAATTTAAAAACCTATTTATACTGGGAATTAATCTACTTTCACGTTTTTTTTGTACATTTTTCTTTTTTAGATCAAATAATTGAGCAATAAAACTATTAAGAGCTTCTTCGTCTAATGTATTTTCACCCGTAATATTCTCGTCATCATTGTCATCATCATCATCATACCCTATAGGGGGTTGTGAGTATTGCCCGTTATTATTTATATCATTTTCACACGTTGTATATTCATACTCATCATCATCATCACCATATAGAATATCCCCATATTCGTACTCATCATCATTTGGCTGTTCATTATTTTCATTCGTATCCCCCTTGATATATTCGGGATTTTTTATTTCCGATGTATTTTCAGTTTGTATATTATCATCGGTATTTTCAACAGTATAATTTTGTTCAGCCATATTTTGAAATTACAGGGTGTATATGAATTGTCTGAATTTGACGACCAAAAGGACTAATCACAGGTCTATTCACTCGAGGTCTACTAACTTAAGATAATAATTTTTTGGGGGTCCCAGTTTTAAGTTCTTCCTTCCACAAGGCATGGTGAAATAACAGATAAAAAATATTCTGTAGATTTTTTTATACATCAACTTTGTTACGTGCAGCTGTCATATAATCCACACTTAATTGATTTCTAAATTCTCCCATAATTATTAATTGTTGAGCAGTGGTGGTGTCTACACGAAAATGAACTTCAATACTAACATTACCACTTGTAACATTAGGTAAAACTTGATCAAACCCATCTTTATTGGGCGATAAATCATTAACGATAATACCGTAATCGGATACATATTCATCATACGTAAATGGCATTTCACTATAGCGTCGATCTAAAATTTGACGTAGGGTCATATATGATTCTTTTGAAGTGCGATAAACGGGTGGGACTATTGCTTCATTTACACTGATAGCGTGGTAAGTAATCGTTGGATAAGGTATCTTAAAAGGGTTTAAAGTATGCGCACCGTTATAAACAGTCTGTGGGACAATTTTTGTTACGGTACGTCCAGGTCTTGAACCGTTAAATATATTTCGATGTGTGATAACACGAGCCCCTACTGGGATGGGGAATGCTACATAACGATGGGTTGTTCTATAAAATCGACATTCTTCCCCTTTTTGAATCATTAATTCATTAATTGCTGCAGATAATTGAGCGTTGGGTTTTATGATGGGTATTTCAGCTGCTGCGCAGTAAGTAGCATCACCTAGTAGTAATTTCGTTTTTTCTAATCTTGTTAATACAATTTTAAAATCAAGCGATATGGGTATAAAACGTTTATTATACCCCAATAAATCAATACGATCTATACATTCAAACGGTGTATTATGCGTACATAGAAGTTTTCTTTTTCTCATCCCCAAATTATTAACACCGGTACCGTCCGCTATCCCGTCAATGTCATCAAAATGTCCGGGTGTATCACGGATCATAAATGTAATTTTTTCTTCGTCTTTGTAGTTAGAGGGTACAGCTGTTAATAACCAATGAAAATAGGCTAATTCATTTTCTTTACTACTTTGTACAGACACCAATTGATTATTTATATAAACTTCTTCGGATTTCCAACCAAATCGTAATGGTGCCATATTTAAAGAGACTTCACGGTCGTTAGCTACATATGCATTACCCGTTTTTAGTTTAATATTCGCCTTAAGAAAAATATCCTCAGTTCTAATCACACCATAATCCTGTCGATTATGTATGAAAGTATAAGTTTCAGCTGTTGCAGTCGGCGGACTACACACTATATTTAATTCCCTTGTTTCTTCAAAAGTATCATTATAGGGAAATGTATCAAATAATGTCATGGGACCTATAAACCCACTATCATGTTCTTCTATGGGTTCTTCACTTTTTAGTTCTCCTCGCGCCGTACGTTTCATCTTGACAATGATTGTATAAATGAATAAATTTGAATCTGCTTATACATATTTATAAAAAAATTACACACACACATACATTTTTAAGGTTTTTTTATTGATAAAATATACATTACATTATTTTCTACTAATAATCGTCATAATAATCGTCATAATCGGGTCTTCGACGTCTTCGACGTCTACGTGGTGGTGCGTCACTTTCGGTCATCCACTGGGGTTGTGGTGGGGGTCCCCGTTGATTCACACTTTGTGTAGGTTTCTGAGCTTGTTTTTTACCAAATATACTACCCACAACACTCGTCCCCGTATTTAATAACATGGGTAATGCCATACCTAATGCAACACCTGCTGCGGCACCTATCCCCCCTATTTGATTCTTTTTCTTTCTTGTACCATTTTTTTTTTTCTTATATTGTATACGTCTTTTACTCCCCATAAATTAATTTTAAAACGTCAGGATGTAATTTTCGTTGCTGTTGTTGTTGTTGTTGTTGTGGTGGTGGTGGTGGGGGTGTTGCGTGAGTTCTATTTTGAATTTTACCCACACGTCTTATTTTTGGGTCAGGAGCGTAATTTGGATTTAAATTTGTGGGGGGGCACACTTTTCCTGCTGCTCTTTCTTCAACAGTAGATGCTGTATTAGGTAATATGTATAAATCACAATGTTTATATCGATGTCCTTTTCCTTTTAATAATTGAATATATTTATCTTTATCCATACGTGGAGTACTCATGATTGCAATAAGTAAAATGATTTTATTCGTCCTCAACAAATACATTTAACCATATATCCACTGAAACGGTCGTACTTAAATATCCTGTATCGTTATTAAAATCAAGTATTATTTTTACACTTTTATTTAATTCGTCTAGATTTTTGACATTGATTAAATAAAAGGTTAATACTTGTTTTTCAAAATTATTGACATTTTGATTATTATATAATAGACGTCTTCTCCCAACCGCCTGACGAAAAGTTGTGGTATTTACAACATGTACCGATTCATAAGTTCCATCTTCAAATTTACCCTCACGAAATGTCCCCTTTGCATCTTTTATATCGATATTTTTAATTACCTGAGAAGCGTCAAATTTTCTTGCAGTGTAGAAAGTAAAAATATCATTATTTTTAAAATAGGCGGGCAGTTCAACCTTATGCGAAACATTAAAATAATGTATACTTGTATCAGAAGCACCCACGGGTTTAATATATTCATACTCTGTAAAACGTAGTTCACAAGGGTGGTTTGATGGTATAGCCATTTTAAGGTGTAACATTTTTTTAATTAACTATACATTCAATGTTTACAGTACCTCCACTGAAGGGTATTAGGGTATGTGTCGTATCGTATAACCCAATTTTGAATTGATTAATTTTACTTTTAATTAACTTTCGGCGTATATCTGGCGGTGTATATAGACATAATGACCCATTTCCACGATTTTCACCTTTTAAATGCACTATACCCAATAGTCGAGCATATGTATCCCCAACAATAGACATTTCTACTTCATCACAATATATAAACATTTTATCAATACCGTCGGAGATATCTGGTAAATACGAACCATAAAAAGTACACGCAAATAAATTGTTACCTTTTGCATATGCTTTATTCATAAAATAATACCACGATTTATCGCTTAGAGAATTATCAAGAGCTATTTGTTCGGTTTTATATTTTATAACCGAAGGATCGGTAACGAATGTTGTTCAACCCAACATATAGGCAAGTGTAGGTGTAATCTCTATTTCTAGTTCATCTCCAAAAGCAGTAGTATAATCATATTTTCGAAAATGCTGGTCGGGCGCAATATTAGAGGCGTGTGCACCCGCATGATCATCTGTAGTTGCCAATTAGTCCGTGTGTTGTGACCCGATATCGTTCACTTTCATTAAGCATGTCTTAGATCTGAAATATTTTTACGGGAACTAACACTTTCGAACACGCTGAGTTCAAATCCGAAAAGTTCCCACTCCGTAGACCCGCAGTTTTTTCACAAAATGCTATTTTATCTTCACTAATTTCACAACAAATTTTTTCATTGTTCAACGATACGGATCGATGACGATACACGATTATGTCACTCAAAAGGACGAATTTCTATTAACCATTCTTCTTTTTAACAAAAGATCGGTTTTGCTCGAATAATTTTGAGTTATGTAATCTTATGCGTGTTGGACGTAAACAACATATCTTGTCTACAACTTTGAGAAGGTACAGATAACGCTTTCAAAAATCCTCAGTTCTAGAGATATCTCTATAAAATCACAATGACGTTAATGTCAAGTCTTTTAGCTATGTCACTGGCCTGAAAAATAACTCTTTTAACGCGATCAAGATATTTAAAACAAAAGTAACGCGAAGCCAACGTAACGGCAAAGATAACGCTAAAACGAAATATTGTCAAATGGTTGCAGGTAGAAGACTTACGACAGGATCAATCTTAAATAACCTTAAACTATAAGAATAAATGTTCACATCAAAGACAAAGATAAGTCACAAAGTATAAAATACGCTCTGTAAACTTACCGCAAATTGGAGAAATGTGTGCCTGAGCTGTTTATTTGATGATTTCGACGTATATAGAAGCCCTCTTTCCAATAATACTCGCTTATCGCACAGCATAACACCAACTGATGTAATAGTTCAAATGCAATGATAAGTTATCTCTTGAATTACGTCTTGGAAACCGTGTTGGAAATTTCAGTGCTGATCCATTACATATAGATTACCGTTTTATATCTTTGTATAAAACATTTTGATCGCATGTAAGGAATTATTTCTCAGCCCAGAGACATAGCCCAAAGACTTGACATTAACGTCCTTGTGATTTTATAGAAATAGATCCAGAACTAAGGATATTAGAAGGAATTATCTGTACCTTCTCAAAGTTGTAGACAAGATATGTTGTTTACGTCCAACACGCATAAGATTACATAACTCAAAATGATTCGAGCAAAACCGATCTTTTGTTAAAAGGAAGAATGGTTAATAGAAATTGGTCCTTTTGAGTGACAAAATAGTGTATCGTCATCGATCCGTGACGTTGAACAATGAAAAAATTTGATGTGAAATTAGTGAAGATAAAATAGCATTTTGTGAAAAAACTGCGGGTCTACGGAGTGGGAACTTTTCGGATTTGAACTCAGCGTGTTCGAAAGTGTTAGTTCCCGTAAAAATATTTCAGATCTAAGACATGCTTAATGAAAATCGTTTTCTAGGCACTTTTCGAGGTCACAACACACGGACTAATAGCAAGTCTCTGCAATCTTTAATTAAAGTTCCTTTTCATCCTCTGCAATGTCTCTTATGCGTAACGTAGCTGCTGCTGCAGCATTTCGCTTCTGTCTGGGTGTGAACTCTTGTGCATCTGGATCTAAACGAGTTGTAATCTCTTTATCGCATTGTAACTCTAACGGGAACAAGTGTTGTATCGCGCGTTCCAGGTAGTTATTACCACCAGTAGTTTTAAGCTTAGCTGCCCGTATTACACCGTCTCTGCCCGTGATGAGTTGCTTAACTATGGCAAGTTTCCAGGTATTTCTTGGTTTTTGATCTTCCTTTACAATCACGATCTCTCCAACTTTGGGATGTTGCATTGATTTTGGTCTAGTCATTCGGTGTTGCTCACGAAGACCACGCACATATTCTCTGGTCCACCGATTCCACATCGCTTGTTTGCATTTTAACAGATGTTTGGCTCGCTTTCTGAGATCTTTCTCTTCGATGTGGTGCTTTTCTAGTTCGGGAATGTAGGTGGGTTGGGTGTGGAGCATACCATTGGGTGTGAGCACAGGTAACTGCACATCATCCTCTAAGTAACACAGGGGGCGATTATTCATCGCTATTTCGATATCTAACACGACTTCTTCGAGTTCCGACCACGTTAAGATACCATTGCCGATTGACTTATAGAATGAACTCTTAAATAACCCAATTAAACGTTCAAATTGTCCTCCCCACCATGGGGCCCGACTTAAGTTGAAACGCCATTCGATCGACATGTTTGCTAAGAGACTGTTTAGTTTCTCATCTTGTCTTACTAGTTGAATCCATTTTGCGGCAGCTTTAAATGTCATTGCATTATCGGAATAGATTAACTTTGGTCTTCCTCTCCTCGCAATGAACCTTTTTAGGCTCATGATGAACTCTTTCGTATCCAACGATCTCACAATATTAAGGTGGACGGCTCTTGTTAGACTACACGTATAAAGCACAAGATATGACTTAGCTTCCTTCTTCGACTTTGTTACGTACTTGATAGGTCCGGCAAAGTCCACCCCGATCACTTCGAATGGTACTGCGCCTTGTGTTCTCGTAGTTGGTAAATTTCCGGGGGGCGGTACTTGATAGGCCTTGGCCCGGAATCTCTTGCAACCGTTGCAGTGTGATCTGATGTTCTTGACTAGACGGCGAAGCCGAGGAACCCAGTAATGTTCACGTACTTTCGCCATGGTTGTACTGACTCCCCCGTGTAGAGTTGATAGGTGCGCTTCACGAACTAAAGATGACGCGAAAGGATGGAAGTCTGGTATATAGATGGGATATTCTTCGATAATTCTGCCTCAACACTCCAGAATTCCGAGGTTGTTCTCCTGTAGGTTTAATCGCTCTCGGTCGGCTAAATATCGTGCATCGTGTTTGACTGCGTCTTGGGCCCGTCGTATCCACCATTCTCGTTGTTGTTGAACCTCGCGACTGTTGATGGGACCTTTCTTTCTCTCTGCCGGTTGTCGTTTACAATTCAGAATGAACCGTCGAACCCACGCTCCAATTCGTAGCACTTTCGGTAAAGGATATTTATCAAGTAGTAGATCCATGATGTCTTCTTCAATGTGCGCAGCTTTGAAGATTTCTTTAATCACTTTCGCTTCTGATTTGCTATCTGATGTCGGTTCCAGAACTCGTGAACTGGCCATTCTGCAGGATTGTTTAACCATGATGGACCCTCTTTCCATAACGTGTTCCCAGAGACCTTTCCTCCCCGACTTCCGATGTCGGCTGGGTTTTCCGCTGTTGGAACGTAATGCCAAGTAACATTCTCGTGCTGACGAATCTTTTGTACTCTGTTTGCCACAAATTGTCGGTATTCACCTTGATCATTGATCCAGTACAGAGCTACGGATGAATCGAGCCAACAATGAACAGTTGCTGGATGAGTAGTGAGAGCTTGTTGAACATTTGTGGCTAGGTTTACAGTCATGTGTCCCGATATGAGCTCAAGACGTGGAATGGTCAAGTTTCGCTTCGCTATTCGTGACTTCGAACATACCAATCCCTGGGTAACTCCATCCTCTTGTTTGACTACTGCATAGACGACTGCACAAACGCCGTTTGAGCTCGCGTCTCCGAATCCATGCAAGGTGATCTCTTGAATTGGTTGATGGTATGAGGCTAAGGACCGAGGGATTGTATAGGACTCGAGCGCTTCGTTCCATTCCTTCCATTTCTTTCGTAGTGGCCCTGGTAGGTCTGCGTCCCATGGAATTTTACTGTCACACGCACTCCGATAAACAAGTTTTCCGGTCAGTGTGGTTGGTGAAGCCAAGCCCAGGGGGTCGTAGATTCGTGCCAATTTTGACAAGATGCTTCTCTTAGTTACAGGTTCAGCGTCTGTGGTGAGGGTCACGCTAATAGTATCGTGCTTCCTATCCCAGGGCACACCAAGTAGTTTCCCATCAGGCTGTTCGATCCCTGCCAGTTGACTTTTGGCATATGTTAGTTCACTTATCTCTGATGACGATTGATTCTTTGGCTCGAGTTCAGGTACGTTTGAGTGCCACTTGTGTATTGTGAAAGTGGCATCGTTAAAAACTTCGATAGTTTTCTCCTTCTGGGTCTGGATTTCTGCGACTGTGGTACCCCCCGTAATCAAATCATCAACATACAGTCCTTCGCGTAATTGCTTCACTATCTCGGGGTAGCGCTCTTCCCAAGCATCCAGATGGTGTTTAAGGACTCCCCCGAGAAGGAATGGGGAGCAAGTCAGCCCAAACAGGGCTCGAGTAAACCGGTAGATTTGTATTGCATCGTTCCCAGTCTCTTTCCAGTGAAATCGCAATGAATCTCGATCTTCGGCCTTTATTCTGATTTGCAAAAAGGCCTGTTTCAAATCGCCTGTTAACAGAATGGGGTGAAATCTAGATCTAACAAGGACGTCCCATAACAGGTTCTGGAGAGGGGGGCCTGGGTGGAGGCAATCATTGAGGGATGGTTGGGATCCGCTCTCTTTCGCAGACGCATCATACACCACTCTCAACTTAGTGGTCTCAGCTTGCTTCCTTTCTATGCCTTTGTGGGGAATATAAAATTCTTTTGCTGTTTTAGTGGTAGGTGCCAGCTCAATTACTCCCTGATTTAACTGTTGTTGTATAATGTCATTATACTGTTTGTACTGTCCGTTCCGTTCAAGTTTCTTAAGCAACTGCTCTAGGCGACGCTTGCTACTGTTCTCATAAGTTGGCAGTGGGGGGTGATTCCCTTTCCATGTTAATGATGTCTCATACCAGCCCGCTTGATCTCTACTAAGCTGCTCTTCAAATTCCTCATACACAGTTTTCTGATCATTTTCATTTCTGTCCGGAAGTCCGAGGACATCTAATGCACATAACTGCTCATAATCTATAGTAGTGGATTGAGTTAACAGGATGGGACCCTCCTCCTTCCCTGGAGACATCACCGTCCAACCAAGGAGGGTTTTCTCTGCCACCGGCTGCCCCGGCTTCCCCACCTTTTGAGCCGTAGTGGTTTTAATTTTGGCATAATCACTAGCCCCAAGCACAAGGTGTACAGGTATTTGTGTACGGGTGTCAGGATCTTCGAATTTTGCACCGTTCAAATGTTTGTATCTCTCTAACAGGCGGGCATAATTTGGGTTGTTGAGTTTCATTAGCTCAGGTTTATCAACTTTTGACATTTCAATTTCAAGCTCAAATTTCTGATCTAGGGATTTTATGCTGGCTGCATAAATTTCTACTCTGGTGGTGGTGGATCCTAACATCATTTCAATTCGTTTTGTTTTGACAGCTTTAGGTTTTCTCTTCAATGCATTGGTTAGACTACTGGAAGCATAGGAGCTTCCTGCTCCAGTATCGAGCAGTGCGTGTGTCTTAATCCCGTCTACTTCAACCTTCACCACTGGATAAATAACTTCACTATCCCCCCCGGTATGAGCTGTTTTTGCTATCTCATGCTCGTCTGCTTTGGGTGCATCACAAATTGACGTATGATGACGTTTATTGCAAAATCGACACTTCGAGACACTCTTACACTCAGCTGCCCTATGAGAGGGCCCTGTGCAGTTAAAGCACAGATGTTTTGTAGCTAGAAACTTTTTCCTGTCCTCGAATGTCAAAATTGTGTCACACTCAGCAGATCTATGACTCTCAGAACTACAATATACACACTTTCGAGAACTTTTACTTATCTGATACAACTTCTGTTGCGTTGAGTACTGATAACCGCCTTGTCGCCGATCTTGTTTCTTCCTCCCATCATCTGGTTTCTGTGCTTCGACTGGATTCCTTCGAGTCCAATGTTGTAATGCTTCGGTTAGTTGAATATAGTCCCATTTCTCCCAGTCTGAGTCGTTCCGTACTAAATCACCCCGTATGTTTGGCAATTTGTCCAATGTCATGGCAACAGTTCCATTCACAGCTTCCAATTTTTTCAATGTCTCAAGCGACTGTACACAATATGATAACTTCTCATAAAATTCATGTATCCTTTTAGGATTTGATGACGGGGTATAAGGAAGATCGAGTATTTCCTTCACATATGCTTTGATGACCTCACTATCTTTGCCAAATCTGTCTTTCAAAATGGCTAAGGCCCTATTATACCCTTCGGCAGTATATGGCAAAGCTTCAATTGCTTTCTTCGCTTTCTCGCATAATAATTCTCTAAGATAAGAAAATTTAGTAACAGGAAGCGTACTTGATTTATCGATTGTTTCAGAATATTGTCCACAAAATCGAGGCCAATCAGCATATGTTCCATCAAATTTTGTGATTGTAAGCTTGGGTAACCTGGCTTGGATGTTTCCACTTGCGCTTGAAGATATCTCACTCGATGGTGCTTCCACTTTCTTGTGTTCTGCTTTCAATTTAATTTTTGCTTCTTCAAGTTTAAGCTCGAAATTCATACGCTCTTGTCGTTGTTGATCTTCACGTTTGACTTGTGTATCGTTTAACCACTGTTCGAGAAGCCCTATTGTTTGGTCTGCTTTTTCCATATGCTTTTCTATTTCGTTGCTCCATTGATCGATCTCGCTCACTTCTTCCTTCGATGTAATTTTCTCGGCTTCGACAGTTCTATGCCATTTGCTCACTTCTGTTAGCGATTCTTTTAAAGTTTCGATATGTCTTCGAATAACATGTTCCTTACCTCCTTTTAAAACGTTATCCGACTTATCTCTTGCTCTCCCAAGTTGAATTAGTTTTGTTTTTAGTGTAATCTCCGCGGTTTCTCCCGTATTTTCGCCTGTCGCCATGTCGCTTTTATACAAACACTTTGTTTACGACTTTTACACACGCTAAAACATCACAAAATCACAAATATCCCGTTCGTTGAGGTGCCACGTGTCCTGAATTCTCGCCTCCCTGAGAAGTATCCAGGGCAAATCACGATAACAAAATAATAATAACTTTATAATAACTTTATAATGATAATAAAATACAAATCTCTCTCACTGATTTCTCACTGTTTCTCTCTCGCTGGTTAGTCTCGCATGCTTGTTAATCACGTGACCCATCACAAAATATGTCAATGTTCGTCTTGGTTTCGTAAAGCTCCGTAATGAGCCCAGTTCGCTACATTAGCTTTATTGATTAAGATAGTTTAAATTAGGATAATTTTGACTTTAGCTGTTAATTGGGTTATTTTGTTGTGTTTGGTTAAAACATTTTTAATATTGGGTTATTTAGTGTAATATTAGGCGTAAAAAAATATACCTGTGGTTACGCGATTGATCGTGCGACCCTATTTTCTTCAGGTGGTTGCAGGCTGCTCATACAGCGTGCCAAAATGGCGTCTGTTGTCACACTAATTATTGAACCAAATTGCCTAAATTCGTCCATAGGAAATACGCATCTCTAGTTAATATTGATGTTGGGACTCTGCTGCAAATATTTTTTAAAAAATTTATTTCCGACCTACCGACCCTAATTTTTCACGATATGAAACAGGAACCAGAGGTATATTTTTTTTACGCCTGAACTGTGATTGGAATAAAATTATATTCAACTTTGTCATGACTTATTGTAATATTTATTTAGAAATATGAAATATTTACAGCAGTTTAAGCCATGACATGTTTTAAATTAAAGTCCTCTTCCCAATTAAGCCCCCTCTCAAATAAGTCTCCTCTCCAATGTGCTTGCCGCTTTTAAAACAGTGGGCCTTCGCTCGAAACGTAGAGTTTCTGCTTATTTTTTAAGGTAGTAATATAACCACTCAGCACAGCATTTACTCGTTGCCTTGCGGATGCTCCAGAAAATTCCAGAAATCTGTCATTAATTGAGCATAAAAAAGTATAAACGTTTTCTGGGGGAGGACTCCAGACCCTCCTATTTTCCTCACAAATTACCTACGTGCTGGGGTAATGGAAAAGACTAGCTAAAATTGGGACGAGCGAAGCTCCCAAAAAGAGATTAGAATGGGAGAACCTAATATTCTTTGCTGCCTCAAATGCAAATTTAAGGTTGTTATATATTGAGTATCCATGATTCTCAGCTACATGTTTTGAACCAGTAGGTTTTGTGAGTGGTTGGGTAAAACAAATCTTTGCCAGAACTTAAGAGCCTCTAGATTCAAATTGTTTTGGGGAAAACCCCCTAGCTCCCGCACCCAAAATCGAGTTTGTCTGGCTTTTCTCCAATTCTACCACCCAACCAGACCATTATTCTGTCACCTAAGTGCAGATAAAAATCCTTTGACCCCCCCCCCCAGTCAAACACCCGTTGCCTTCGTAATATTCCTACATGTGCAGTTCTAAATTTTTCTTAAAATAAACCCTGCGCAGCTCAATCTGATCGAGTCGAATTCGAAGGCTGTTTCGATGTAAGGGTGCCTCTGGCTGGCTTCCAGACCTTTTTAAATATAGAAACCTGAGTACCCAGAGAAAACCAACAATTGTTGGTAAAGAACTGATCGGCAGGTTTGCCGCGAGAAACGAACCGACATTCTCAAGAGGTGAACTAGGCACTTACTCTGACGACTGCACAAACTGAAGTCCCCATTTTCAACAACTTATATGTTGAGTTTACAAGATGATTTTACTATAGATAATTCGGAATATGTTTTTTACATTTCTTGATATATTGTCTGCTGATAAAGACTATACAACATACGTGAACTTTTCTTTATTGCAGATAAAACAAACATGTCGCTAACTGGAATACTACTTGATGTATCTGCTTCTATGCAGAGGGACATCGGAAACGGTATGGATGAACAAGGTGAACCTTGGGCTCACTCTATTTTTAAAGTTATTGATGACCTTATTGAACATGATCTTACGTCTGAGAATCGTGTCTTTGGTATAGGCGTCGGTGCAAACTGTGCCACACAGATATTTGATGTTATTGCAACCCTTCAGCAAATTGAGAACATGAAAATGCCTAACTATCGTAAAAACACGCCTGCTACAATAAACAACATCCATGAGATATTTAATGTGCTCGAAAGAAATGGCGCAAGTAATATTAATATACGTCAGTGGGTTAAAGACGTCACTCTTATTCAAGAAACACCATCTGATTATTGCTGCATTGATTTTGGCTGCATTCTGATTATAGCTGCATTGATTTTGAGGAAACTTAAGTCTGACGAAAACTTCGTCAGGAAATTTGTACACGAATTTTTACCGCCCGGCTGTCGAACGCCAAGCAAGGCCTTCCACTCTTATTTGATGAGTATTATGCTGTATGGGGAATTGAGATATTCACGAAGTTGTAGAAAAAGCAAAACGCCATTTTTTAAAAGATGTAGGGACCTACTCTATATTCAGTGTGCAAGATACCTCCCGCATTATCCGTGGATGTGTTGATGAAAAGGAATTATCCACCGAAAGAAAGGAGGAATTACTTTAGAATGTCGAGCCTTTCATTTATGACCAAACGCCGTTGTACAAATCTCTTGAAAAGGCAGCGAAACTTTTCGAAGAAGACACTTCTGAGAACAAATTACTTTTCGTGCTGTCAGATGGAGATCCTACTGACGGCAGTAACGACGATAGCGACAGGATCAGCCAAATTACTTCCAAACTAAATGAAGCAGGCGTTAATGTAGTATCCTGTTTTATCACTAAATCCACAGATATTCATCTAAAACGATTGTACGACAAAATTTTATCTGGTTGGGAATCTGGAGCCAAGTTTCTATTTTCGCTGAGCTCTGAATTACCAACACAGCCGATCTGCCACGAGCAATTTTGGTCAAACGTGGTTGGACAATCGATGTCGCCAATAATGAAACAAAGTTGTTCATCCAAGTCAACCATCCGGACAACTTGAGGTATTAACTTCAACAAGGCCTTTTTTAAGAAATCATCAATAGGGTGGGGGGCATTAACAAAAAGGAACCTTGCTGGATTACCGTAAACGGGAAAAATACGGATTGGTAGGTGGAAATCAAACCCAAAAAAAGCCATTTCAAAAGCAGCCCAAATACTGATGTACTAATCTCAAACTCATAAATAATCCATGAGTAAATTAGCCAACCATATTGCTTTATTTTGCTCACATGATAATACTGGATACCTGGTGAAGTATACGTATACTGATCTTATGATCTAGTCCTAAAACTGAATCAAAATTAATTCATCTTACTTGAAATAGTGATTTATTCATATGAGATGTCATTTCAAATATTCGGACTGAACTAGATTTCAAGTCCTCTCATGTTGATCCAGTCCTTGGATTCGCCTTGGACTTGATCAAATTGCGTGGACTTGAAATCTAGTCCAGTCCTCATAGTCGGATTTGAAATAAAACGTAATATATGTATAATTTTTCCGGTATACCGATACCGGAAATTTCTCATACCAAACATCCCCAAGTTCTAAGCTATTAATAAAATCATTTCCAGCAATTAGACGAGAGAATGTTGGGACTTGGGAGATATAAACAGATAATTGCAGTAGCTCTTTATGGCTGACAGACGATATGTTATTTATGGGCACGCCAAATTCTAAATTTTAATGAAATTACTTTCAGGGAAGCATGCGAAATGGCCAAAAGTGTTGTCTGTAGTTCAGATGCGCTATCTGAATTGCTGGTATCTGTTCACCTGGACATATATATCAACCAAACCATGAGTGGTTTTAGAGCAAAGGATCAGGGGGAACAGTTAACCTGCTATGCGTTTGCATCCGCTGTTGTGCTCCATTTGGCAATGCAACGAATTCATGGTCGAGAAGGAGAATATCCTAGTTTTGATGAGTTAAAAGATGAAATGATTCGTGAGCATGGGAAAAGCCGTGCTCATACCAGTGAAGTTCTGAAGAAAATATGCCCGATTAAGTATCGTTTACAATGCTGCAAAGTCAGCATCAAGGGGGCGAAGCAAGCCATTGTCAAGAAACGTCCCGTGGTAGCAAAATTTTTTCTTACAGACGACGAGTGGGATGATTTTGAAAATTTCTACGACACCAAACCAGTTGGTATACTCACCAAAAAAGAACTTGATGTTCGTAAGCGTCCTGCAAATCCTCCACAACGCACTTCTGGCCATGCTGTTGTTTTGACCAGTTACAACTGCAAGTGTTTAACCTTCATGAATTCCTGGGGAGAAGAATGGGCCGACAATGGATTCTTCAGAGTGCAAAATGCAGAAGTCCTTGGTGGTCAGCTAGCATTCTTCGATGTTTACTGGGAGTTGAATGATCTGACTGAAAAAGAGCAAGAGAAGTATCGAAAGCATGGATCCAAATTGGCCAAGAGGTTGATAGAGTTCTTAGAAGGCCTGGAATTTGCGGAATACACGTGCCCAGAATGTGAGCAAACGTCGTTGGTTACTGAATTTACTGGAACGCTATCGAAAGTTCAGTGTCCAAAATGTTTCCGTGAATTTTCAACCAGTGATGATGCAGGGAACATTCTGGCTCTCAATGTTTACTTGACATCTTTGAGTAGATAAGCATACTCTGAATATTCTAAATGCACAAACTGACAAACTGAATAATGTTCAATAGTTGCGTTCGTAGCACACTAATTTAAATTGCAGTCTTGTGTAAAAATTTGAAAACGTTTGTGAACCAGGGGTCATCCTAAACTAGAGCTGCTCTTTCAACAGAAAATTACTATGAGGATAACCTGCTGAAAAGTTGGGGCTATTCCATTTAATTAGTACACATCCCCCTGAAACCCAAAATTCTTAGTAGGTCATCAAATATGAATGCGAATTTGACATCCCACCTCCCTCTGCCCCTTCCCCAGTCCCCCTTTGTGCTCCCACTTGCTTCCATGAGTCAAAAATGCAACACTAGATTAATTCTCTGTCAGGAGTCCAACCCGCCCTGCGAATCCAGTGCAGCTGCGCTCTAACCAACTGAGCTAAAGAGGCCTGGGGCCGGTTGTATAAAAACGTGATTAAAGTTAACTATGTGTTAAGTGCAAACGTCATCCAATAAGAAGCGCCTATTTGAGAGTTAATCACTATTTAACTACAAAACAGTGATTAAAAAAGTGATTAAGAGTTTTATACAACCGGCCCCAGATGTCTAACCGCAAGTTCATGTATATATTGATATTCGGGTGCGTGGGTTTTATAAGGTATTGAACTTGAAAGATTTTTGAATTTTTGCACTTCATGCAACCAAACGAAGTCACCCATGACTTTGTATAGCCTCCTCCGCAGGCCTCTCTATGGGTTTTAGCCATGGACGTACCGGAAGGAAAAAATTAGGGGGGCGGAAACAAATTTACCCGACTTTTCCGGATTGTGCCCGACTAGTACCTAAAACATTTTTCTCGGTCTGTGTACCATTTTAGGGGTCAAAAAATTTTTCCGGACATACCAAAATTTTTCGGAACATCACACAAATTTTCCAAACATCACAAAATTGACCACAAAATTGACTGAATTTTCGACTAAATTGACTGCAATTTGTCCCATTTATTTTTATTACAAACCAAAATTGCCCGACTGTTGATCGAATATTGCC